TAGGAGAATTCTGCTGTACTGAAGAGACCAGCTGACTTTGTTTTTGTGATATATATTTATGATATATAGAAACAAAGGAGTTTCTCAATTCTCCTGGGTTTTAAAAAAACAAAACAAAACAATGGAATTGGAAATGTTTAGCAGAGTAGGATCTACAAATTCTGATCCATAGACTGATGCTATCTCATTGTGACAGTCTATTTTCTAGAGATCAAATATCATATGAAAATACAAAGACTATTAAAAACGATTCTTTGCGTAGAATTAGTTTGTGTACTACATCAGCTAGTATGTTGTAAGGCCATTCCTTATCTTTCTTGCTATTAGTTCTTTAAAACAGGAACTATCTCTTGCAAATAGGGATATATAGCAATCAAGTAGTATTAAACTTGAGGCTTCATGTAAAAATATTGTTCAAATTGTCTAAGATGTGCTAAAATCTAAAGTGGGTGAGGAATTTAATGAAGGGCTTCAATATCAAGTTTTAATAGTGTCCACTTAGCTGGAATAAAAGAATAGCGGTTAGACTTCGTAGAGGACTCTTACTACAAAAGCTGAAAAAAATTTCATTTATTTATCGTTTTCTATGTATTTAAGGACATAAAAGGAATTCTAATATTCAGTAATTAAAATCTAGCATTTTGACAATAAAGAATTTGCAATTCAGTTTTATTCAGTATTTTACTATTTTTCCATATACAGAGGACATTGAATTGTTACAAAAACTGTTTTACAGTTGAGTTGGGGGAATTATTTTATATTGGTAGTCTAAAAAAGAACACAGTTTATTAATTTTTTTCTTAAGTTTTCTAAAGATTTTTATTTTTTTTAAAGATTTTATTTATTTATTTATTTGAGAGAGAGAATGAGAGGGAGCACGAGAGGGAAGAGGGTCAGAGGGAGAAGCAGACTCCCCGCTGAGCAGGGAGCCCGATGCGGGACTCGATCCCGGGACTCCAGGATCATGACCTGAGCTGAAGGCAGTCGCTTAACCAACTGAGCCACCCAGGCGCCCTCTTAAGTTTTCTAAGAACACAGTTTAAGAAGACAAGTGATCAGAGTGCCTGGGTGGCTCAGTTGGTTAAGCGTCTGCCCTCGGCTCAGGTCATGATCCTAGGGTCCTGGGATCCAGCCCTGTATTGGTCTCCCTGCTCAGCGGGGAGCCTGCTTTTGTCTCTTCCTCTGCCCCTCCCCTTCCCTTTCCTTGTGCTCTCCTTCTCTCTCTCTTGCTCTGTCAAATAAATAAAATCTTTAAAAAAATAAAATCATTAGTCTATATACTGTGTATTTTTATCCTGTTGTTTACTTGTGTTTCAGTAGTATTTAACTGTATTAGAATTTTGGAAATGTCACATCTCTAGACCTAATAGATGTTATAATTGACTTTAAAAAAATTTGAATCTACTTCCAAGATATTACATCATGGTAATATATTTTTTGATAAAAATGAAATTCTTGTACATCCTGCTCTTAGGACTAAGGTGTAATATTTATCTGTAAAGATAGATTAAGAATGATTGTTACCTTGTTTTCTTTTGATCAAATATAAAGGGAAATTTTAAACTAGTTTTAGAGGAATTTAAGAGAATTTGATTATTCTCATACTTCAGATTTTGCATATTTTTAAAAGCTGAGTAGCATTTGTCACATTGCAGAATAAAATACTGCATTTTGTGTTACAGCATATGTATGTATTAAAAAGCCTACAGCAAGCATTATCCTAAATAAAGGAAACATCAGAAGCATTCACTTTGAAATTAGGAATGAGGAAAGGATGTGTACTCTTTCTGTTTCTGTTCAGCGTTGTAGTGGAGACTGTAGCCAGTGCAGTGAGACCTGATTAAAAATGCAGAAATAAAACTGTAATTATTGGAAGCTATTATTTATGGTGAAAACTCAAAAGGACATACAAATAGATTATTAAAATAATAACTTTAAAAGGGTGAGTGGATGTAAAATTAATATGTAAATGTCAGTTGCATTTCTATATATCAGCAGCAAATAATTGAAGAGAATATTGTCAGAAAAAGTAAAGTACATGTCAACAAATCTAAGAAATGATCAAGATTTCTTTAGGGAAAATTATAAAATTTCATTATGAGATGATAGAGAACACCTAAACTGAAGGAGATATATGTCATGTTCACTAATATCAATATTATAAAGATGGCATTTTTCCCCAAATTAATATACAGACTCAATGCAAGTCCAAACTCTTGAGATTTTTCATTAAATATGATTAAATTATTCCGAACAGGAGAAGGATACTTTATAGAAGAGAAACAGCAACGAGAAACTGACTTTATCAGATAGTAGGATTTATTATGAAGATGTATTAATTAAGGCAGTGTAGTATTGGGGTAACAATAGACAGATTGGCCAGTGGAGTAGAATTGTGAGCCCAGAAAGACACTTAAGAAAATACAAGACTTAAGTTGGATTTTTCTACCTCTTGTTATATACAGAAATCAGCTGAAAGTGAATTGAAGATTTAAGTGTAAATCAACATTTTTAAAGACTCTTGGTAAAAAATATTGGTAAACAAATTTTAGTCCTTGGCATATAGAAAGGCAAGATACAAAATAAAGTTTTATAGAAACAGTTGATAAATTTGATATTCTTAATTTCAGTTTATTGTATTTTTCAGTTGTAGAATTTGTTTGGTTCCTTTCCTAATAATTTCAAGTTCTCTACTAAACTCCATCTTGTCTTTTAACTCCTTGAATATATATTTTAAATAACCTGTCTGAAGACTTCATTATTTGAATCCTTTGTGCTCTCTCTTTTTTGGGGGGTATGGCAAAAGGAGAGGAAGAGAGAGAATCTTAAGCAGGCTTCAAACCCAGTGCCAGAGCATGACGTGGGGCTCGATCTCACAACCCTGAGATCATGACCTGAGCTGAAATCAAGAGTCAGTTAGTCACTTAACAACAGAGCCACCCAGGCGCCCCTGGTCTATTTCTATAGACTATTGTTTTTCTTTTCTTTAAAAAAAACAAAAAACACAAAAACCCCTCTATTTTGTCTCTTCATTTGCCTGTTATTTAAAATAGAATACCAGTCATTGTATATGAAAAATTATAAAGATTTTAGGCCTAGGATATTGTTATCTGTCTTCAGAAGATTTTCTTTTTTTTTTTCCCCCAGAAGATTTTCTTGTGGTAGGCAGCTAGTCGGTAGCAATCTCAGATCGCCTCAGATCAGTGAATGAGTTAGATTATTTGAAGCCGGACTTCATCTCTGTGAGATCTGGTATCTTTCCAGTTCATTCTTAACTCCTAAGGTATAGCTCCTTCAGGGCCCCAACCGGAGTATAGGGCATTTATCAGATCTTCCATCCTCAGTAGAACCTGAACTTTATTTTTCCTCTATAGGGTATTGAGAGTTGATCTCAACTTCTCATTTTCTTAGCCACCTTACAAAATTGGCAGGCTCTATCTGGAAAAAAAGAGGTCTCTTACGCTGAACTTAACTCTGGGTTTTTGTGATACTGTAATTTATAATAAGTATATATTTGCTCTTCACCCCCATTCCTGGCAAAGAGCTCCTAAACCCTGGCTAAGTGATAACAGCAAAAAAATTGAAAGGAGTATCTTTTGTTATTTGTAATAAGCCCCTTTCAACCACACCTATTATGTCATATTATGTTATGATACGAACACCTGCATCACAGGTGTATATTTTGACCTAATAGTTGTACAAATAAGTTCTTGTAGATGCCTTCAAATGCTTCGCTTAAGAATACTAATGGGGATATTTTAAATGTTGTTGATAGCTACTGAGACTGTGAGCATAGTTTAAATAAAAAGTCAGAATCAAAATTGTATTGTCATTTTATTATTGCCTGTAAGACTAAAGAATTTGGGTTTTAACTGTGTTTCTAATTTAGTATTTCAAATTTTAACTTTCTGAAAATTTCACAAATTTTCACATAATTGTGTATTTTATGCTTTTAAAAAAATGTTATGATTTACTCCTACAGCTTATATTATTTGAAAACTGCAGTTAATATTTTAATTCCAAAACTAAACCTGGATTTCTTTTCAGATGTCAATTTAACAAACTGTCATTACATTATATTCTGTCATAAAGGTTTTTATATTTTTTCAGAACTGCAAATTTTTCCTGCTATAGCATTTTTTTGTCTTTTAAAGCAAACCTCATTTGCACATAAAACTTTTTATGGAGGGACACCTGGGTGGCTCAGTTGGTTGGGCGTCTGCCTTCGGCTCAGGTCCCAAGGTGCTGGGATCGGGTCCCGCATTGGGCTCCCTGCTCAGCGGGGAGCCTGCTTCTCCCTCTCCCTCTGCCTGCCACTCTGCCTACTTGTGAACTCTCTGTCAAATAGATAAATAGAATCTTTAAAAAAAAAAAAAACTTTTTATGGAAACTAGCTGGCTACCTTATATCATCTATTGTCTTGGTATTTAATTCCTAAGGTATTGTTCTGAATTTTGGCAAATATTTCTATGTATGTCACCTTTATGCAAAACATATGTAAAATTTTCTAATAGAGTTCAGTTTTCAAGAGCATAGGTTCAGGATTCAATGACTTCTTAGTATGAATTCCTTCTCTACCACTTCCTATCTGGAACTTTGGAGAAGTAATTTCATCTCTTTAAAATTTGTTCCTCATCTATAAAATAGGGATGATAGTAATTCTTACACAGATTTATATTCTCCCTCTTCTCTGTTTTGTATAACCTTCAACCATTTTAGTAAAAATTTGGTTGGTTAGTAATATCAATTTGGAGTTCTGCTCTAAATTTCAGATGATTTAGGGTAGTTACTTCCCAACCATGTATGTAACTTAATGGATACTGTTAGTGACTACATATGATAATGATAAAAGGCATTTTTGAGATTGTATACTATTCTATTTTGTTAGCATAGACTGGATGCTACCTAGGGTTATTGGATATGTTGGGCAGGGAGGAGGACCTAGCAGGATTTTAGTTCTATGTGACTATTTTACATTCTTAAAAAAATGTACTATTTAGTCCCTGAACAGCAGCTGCTTGATATTGAAGATTGTGACCTCAATGTGGTGAGATTATGTTTTCAAGTTTTCCTCCCTGATGAACATGGTAATTTGACAACGGCTCTACCTCCTGTTGTCTCTAACCCAATTTATGACAACCGTAAGTACTTTATTTTCTTATATTTGTAGCATTAGCTTATGTTTTTTTTAGTTTAATTTTTTAAGGTATTTTGACAGAGAAAGAGTATGTTCATTATAAGAAAAATTCAAGCATTACTGAAATAACAAGAAGAATAGATCTTCTCTGATCTCCTCCAAAGATAATCACTATCCCCAGGTACATATTTCACCAGTTTCTTCATATATAAAAACACATCATCACTATCATTCATATAGTATACTTTTGGCAACTTAAAAAAAAAATCATCACAGATCATTAAAAAAAATTTTTTTTTTTTCTTAGCAATATATCTTGAGCCCTTTTCCCTTTCAGGTACCTTATTCTCTTCAGTAGCTGCATATTTCCTTATATGGCTCTATCACAATTTTATTAAATCATTACCCTATTACAAGACATTTGGTTTGTTTCCTTCTCGATTTTTTTTCTCTAACAAATTGTACTTCAGAAAATATCCTGTACGTGCATATTTTGTGCAAATGTGTTTCTAGCATAATTTTACAGAAGTAGAAATGTTGGCAAATGCTAGATCAAAAGATATGGGTATTTGTAGTTTTAAAAGATTATGAAATTGCCCTCAAAGTTTTTGCATGCACACGTGTATTTGCTCTTATATATGCATCTATTCATGGTATATTACTGCCTGTTTTACATATAGTAGCATAGTGGGACATAGGCCTATAAAGGTGGATCAGAGTATCCTCATCATGGAGAACTTTGAATTGCCAGGGAGAGTTCCTAAAATTATATTCCTAATAGGAAGCATGAAATTGCATTGCTATAGGCTTATAGTTATGATTTAAGAGATTAATCTGGTGACAGTGTATGGATGGATTGAAAGAATCAGAATTTAGGAACAGAGATTTAACTAGAGGATCAGTTATTGCTGAGAAATGAAGTCACAAGGCTGTAAACCAGGTTGGGCAGTGCAGTTAGAAGGGAGAAGGACAGTTGTGGGTGATTAGTGTACTTAGTGTCCTTAATTTATGTATACACTAAAGCTTTTATCTGTCCTATAAATTGTTTTCCTAGAATTCTCACCATCAAAAAGGAATAAAAAATATTACTAAAGCAGAAACCCATTAAAACAATCCTTTATATTTAGGTGCTCCTAATACTGCAGAATTAAGGATTTGTCGTGTAAACAAGAACTGTGGAAGTGTCAGAGGTGGTGATGAAATATTTCTACTATGTGATAAAGTTCAGAAAGGTATTCATTTATTTGTTTCATTGAATTTAGAATAGACAGATCTTCCTTGGCTTACAGTGGGGTTATACTATGATAAGTTCACTGTAAATTGAAAATAATCTTAAATTGAAAATGCAGTTAATACACCTAGCCTACCAAACACCATAGTTTAGCTTAGTGTACCTTAAACATGCCCGAACACTTACATTAGCCTGCAGTTGGGCAGAATGACCTAACACAAAGCCTACTTGTAATAAAGTGTTGAATATCTCATGTGATTTATTGAAAACTGTACTGAAAGTTAAAATCAGAACAGTTGTGATGTATGTTGTTTACCCTCCTGGTCATGTCGCCAACGTGCTTGCTGCCACTGCCCAGCATCTTGAGAGTGTCGTACTGCCTATCAGTAGCCTGGGAGAAGATCAAAATCTGAAATACACTTTCTACTGAATGCATATCACTTTCACACCATCATCAAGTCAAAAAATTGTTAAGTTGAACCATCATCAGTTGGGGACCATCTGTATTTTAGATTAATAGATGGATTTTGTTTTCCATTGCTATTCCTTTGCTTTTGTATTCACTAGATGACATAGAAGTTCGGTTTGTGTTGAACGATTGGGAAGCAAAAGGTATCTTTTCACAAGCTGATGTACACCGTCAAGTAGCCATTGTTTTTAAGACTCCACCATATTGCAGAGCGATAACAGAACCAGTGACAGTAAAAATGCAGTTGCGGAGACCTTCTGACCAGGAAGTTAGTGAATCTATGGATTTTAGATACCTGCCAGATGAAAAAGGTATGACTTCTTGGTGGTCATGTTTTATGTATTTCTTAAAGTTAGTTCTAATAACATTTTATACATTTGGATACAGTCAGGTTTATTCATAATTTACATTTTATTTCCTGGAAGTTTTTGTGTTTTTTTTAAGATTTTTTTTTTTTTATTTATTAGAGAGAGACACAGCGAGGGAGGGAACACAAGCAGGGGGAGTGGGAGCGGGAGAAGCAGGCTTCCCGCTGAGCAGGGAGCCCGATGTGGGGCTCGATCCCTGGACCCTGGGACCATGACCTGAGCCGAAGGCAGAGGCTTAATGACTGAGCCACCCAGGCGCCCCTATTTCCTGGAAGTTTTCAGTTGATTTTTTTTTTAATCGATTGATCCTTCTGCTCTTTGCCTCTCTTTCTTTGGAAAGGAATCTAGAATAATTTCAGAGTATCCGAACTGTTTATCAAAATTATTGTATATTTGAGATTCTGTTTTTGTACTTATTGTGCCCTTTTTAAGATGGAAAGCTTGCCACTCAGAGTGGTCTCCATTTTGGTTTGGCCCTTATCTGCCTTTATTGCATTAGTTGACATTGTTGACTTGCAGGTGTTATAAGAAAACAAGATGAGTATTATACCCTGTCCTACTGACTTGGGACACATTCTGCAACATTTACTAAATCCATATTACATACATTTGTTTAAAGCACCTTATGGGAATAAAACACCTATTTATTTGTTAAAGGAGAAGCAGCATAAACCTGTGATGATTTCCTGGTTTCTTTTTAACCAGATACTTACGGTAATAAAGCAAAGAAACAAAAAACAACTCTACTTTTCCAGAAACTGTGGCAAGACTGCGGTAAGATTATTTTGGATTGATTTGTATTTAAATAGATTTTGGGTTTTTTTGCTTTACTCAGTTTTCTAAATTTTAACTGATGTTCTTTTTTAAATTGCATTTAATAATGGAAAAACTTTATCACAGCAGTTAATTTTCCTGAAAGACCTAGACCTGGTACCCTAGTATCAACTGGAGAAGGAAGATTCATCAAAAAAGGTATTTTATCCTATAGAGTATTCCTTATGGTCAAAAGACCAATGCTTTGCCCAATATATTAGAATTCCATTCTTAGGAATGAAAACTGCTTCTTCACTATTTTCCATTCCCACTTCCAATCCCATTTCATGCTTTGAATATTAAATGAATTGATCTCTGCTTCTTAAGGTCCTGTTGGAAACTATGATTATGTTTTTGGAATTTATTGTTTGAGAAATTACATTTGTTCATATGGTGGTAATTTTATTTAATTACAGTGTATCATGGAAGAAATGGTTTGGATCTGGCCAGTTGCCTGTCTTTAAAAATAAAGCTTAACTAGAACACAACCATGCTCATTTGATTGGATATTGTCTGTGGCTGCTTTTTTTGCACTATAGTGCAGAATTGTGTAGGTCCAACAGAGGCTGTATGGCCCACAGAGCGTAAAATATTTGGCCCTTTACAGAAAAAAAAAAACGTTGTGAACCTCTGGTTCAAATCACTGAACCAGAGTTATGTAACCAGAAGTCTTTTCTTCCCCTTACATTCTTAAATCTGTGCTTTTTCCTGGTTTAGGATGTACAGCAGTCATATACTATATAAATAAATAGAGAACCCTTAATTTTTTTCTGACTGGGAATTTTGTAGTACCTTAGAATTATATCTTTTTTATTAGAGAGATGGGGAGAGAGAGACAGGGGAGGGGCAGAGGGAGAGAGAGAATCTTAAGCAGGCTCCATGCCCAGCCGGGAACCTGACTCAAGGCTCGATTTCACAAGCCCAAGATCTGGACCCGAGCTGAAATTAAGAGTTAAACGCTTAGCCACCTGAGCCACCCAGGTGCCCCTAGAGTTATATCTTAATATATCTTAGCGAGTTATGTGTATTTTTCAATCATCCCTAATGAGCATTTCCTCCATCCCTCTATTTTCTCCTAAAAGTAGTGAATATGAAATAATTTTGGCTATTTAGATTCCCATTAACTGAAATTCTGTTTTTTTTTTTTAAATGCTTTGTAAGTAATCTCTACACCCAACTTGGAGCTCAAACTCATGACCCCGAGATCAGGATTTCCAGCTGAGCCAGCCAGGCATCCCTGAAGTTCTGATTTATTTTTCACTTTATAGAGCCTCAGAAGCTAAATTTTCATATTTAACTGGACTGAAGCTATCTGTGCCAAAATAACTTACCAAAATTATTTTATAGGTATTTGTAAAACAGTAAGTGTTACAGAATTTAGCTTTTTGGACTCTTATAATAATTTTAGTGCTATTTAATATTTTTCTCTAAAATGTTCCATCAGTTAGTTTGCTTGGAAATTTTATTAGTGTGTTTATGCAAGTTTAATTTAGAGATAATGTTTTTTATACTTTTATTTCAGTTTATAAAAATACATTCTCCTCTCCACAGAATCTGGAAACTTTTCTCATGGTGCAGTTTTGACAGAAATGCCCAGGACTTCAGGTGTTTCAAGTCAAGGAGATTCCTATTATTCCTCACCTGTGTCCATCTCAAATGCACTGTCACATCATACTTCACCCATACCTTCAATGGTGTCTCAGCCTTCTTCCAGCTGGTCGTCAGGGGCCCACCCCACCTCGCGCACAGTCAGTACGAATCCACTGAGTGGTTTTTCAACAGGGACACTTCCCTCTAATCCACAAGGTATCTCGCCATATCTGGAAATGCCACTTGAGCGTGATTTGAATGCCTCTAATGCTTGTATTTATAACAATTCGAATGACATAGGCAGAATGGAAGCACCATCCATGTCACCAGCTGATTTATATGGTATTTCTGATGGCAACATGCTGCCGAATTGCCCTATGAATATGATAACACCTAGTAATGACAGCATGAGGGAGACTGATAATCCAAGACTTGTGAGCATGAATCTTGAAAACCCCTCATGTAATTCGGTGTTAGACCCGAGAGACTTGAGACAGCTCCATCAGATGTCCTCTCCCAGTATGCCAGCAGGCGCTGGCTCCAGTACGGCTGCGTTTGTTCCACAGCCAGAGGCATTTGAGAGATCTGACTTCAACTGCACAGGTAACAGTATGATAAATGAGGCAGGACCATCAAACAGTACTAATCCAAACAGTCATGGTTTTGTTCATAGTCAGTATTCTAGTATTGGCGCTATGCAGAATGAGCAATTAGGTGACTCATTTGCATTTGATTTTTTTCAAGGTAACTTGTAAAACTTAATTGGTTGTTTGGGTATATTGAATTCAAAGCTGAAAAGTATCATATAGGGGAAATTCTGAAATAGAAACTTAAAAACTGTTTCTTCTTTCGGAAACATGTGACCCGATAACTGTGTGCTGTGGAATTTGTCTTTAGAGTCCTTTACCCCATTTTGCTAGTACAGAATGAGGAGAAAATGAGAGCAAGGCTCCAGTTCTTCAAAATACAATTTTTTTATACTTCTTTTATATTGTATTAATGTATTCTTAGTTAAATGAATTAACTGATATTTGCTTTTAAGCAAATTTAAGGTAAAACCTGTAATGACTGTGTCATTAGAAAAATGATTTCCTTATTATTTTTGAGACCCATAGGCCAAGGTGACCCCTAAGGGGTTTTCTGAGGCTTCTTGGAGTTTCTTAGATTTATATGTAAATCAACAATCTTTAAAATCTTTAAGAATCTAACTTGGCAGGGGGTGCCTGGGTGGCTCAGCCGGTGAAGTGTCTGCCTTCAGCTCAGGTCATGATCCCAGGGACCCTGGGATCTGGTTGCATCAGGCTCCCTGCCCAGCAGGGAGTCTGCCTCGCCCTCTCCCTTCCCCACTCCCGCTCGTGTGCACCTGCATGCTCTCTCTCTCAAATAAATAAAGTCTTAAAAAAAAAAATCTAACTTGGACAGAAAGTGAAGTGGGCTTTCAAGGAAGGGGAAGTTCTCTACATTTTGGACCATTTTAAATACCTACCTTTAAATTGCTTGTGAGTTTAGCTTTACACCCACGTCTTTAAGGTAAAGAAGTTTCCTTAGGCCTGTCTTCTTTCTTGTGTTTCCTCACTCACTGTGATCTCATCCAATTTCGTGCTCTTTGTTCGTAAATTTTATCCCTAGCTTAGACCTGTCCTCTGACCTCCATACTTGGAGCTTACGCATGTATGTAAAACTACTTATTCGACATTTCTACTTAGAAACCTAATTAATGAACAAAAATCCAGCTCAGACTCAACATATCCAAAACTGAGTTCTTGATCTTCCTCCTTGTGCCCCTATAGTCTCTTCTCTCCAAAGTAGCCAGAATGATTATTTTTAAAACAAGTCAAATTGTATCATTCATCTGCTCAAAACCATCCAGTGGCTCCCCATTCCCACTCAGAGTAAAGATCAAAGTCCTTAAAATTGGCAGGCTCATACTTCGTCTCCTATCTCATCTCTTACTGTTTTCTTCCCCTCATTCAGCTCCAGGCACTCTGCCCTCATAGTCTCTCTTCAAAAACACCAAGTATATCCGTGCCTCAGACTCTTTGTACTTGGTGTCCCCTCTGGCTTGACTGTTTTTCTCTCAGATACATGCATAACTCACTTCTTAACGTCCTTCAGATTCACTCACCTGTTACTGATTAAGGCCTTCCTCGAATCTATACGCATCAGCACTCCATGTCCTCTTTCCTTTCTGTTGGTCCATAGCACTTACCAGGATCTGACCTTTACTAAGCATTTATTTTTTACTTTTAGTTTTTCTCCCTATACTGGAATATAAGCTTCACAAAGGTAAAAATTTTTGTGTTTTGTTTGTTGAATCCTCAGTTTGTAGAACAGGGTCTGCCTCATATTAAGCATTCGGTAAATATTTATTGAATGTTCAAAGTACTACTAGTAGAAGTTTGTGTTTTTTTTGAAAGAACAGCTTTAATTAGATATTTATGATTTTTATAATGTGACATTGGGTTTATGTCAGAATCATGCACCTTCAGGTCAAGGATTAATGTAATCCAAACCATCTGAAAGCAAAGTAATCCCAGCGGCAAAATGATGGTAGAATTTAGGCAGTAATCTTAGTTGTGATGGAATTGTCATGATGCTAAGTAACTGACTTATTGAAGACTTACTCTATTTTACAAATAGAACCTGCCATAAATGTTGAGCATGTTCTGAGCTAGAAACAGTGTGTCATTTCATTTACACAGTGTCCAACCAAACCAGTAAGTTTACTGGAACAATCAAAATGGGAAATGTATGAATATCATGTAAATAAAAATTCTGAGTTGAATGATACTGGGAAATGGGAAGGAGAGCAAGATAAGCCTTGGGGTTAGGATAGTCTAGGAAGCAGAAGAAGAAAAAGATTAAAGATACCTAAGTACCATTAATATTTCTCAGAAATTATGATTTAAAAATGAAACATTTGTTACATAATTTTAAAAACCATAAGCATAGGGCGCCTGGGTGGCCTAGTCGTTAAGTGTCTGCCTTCGGCTCAGGTCATGATCCCAGGGTCCTGGGATAGAGCTCCACATTGGGCTCCCTGCTTGGTGGGAAGCCTGCTTCTCCCTCTCCCACTCCCCCTGCTTGTGTTCCCTTTCTCGCTGTGTCTCTCTCAATTAAATAAATAAAATCTTTAAAAAAAAAAAACCATAAACATATACTTTAGAAGAACTTACCAGGGAGAATAAAAAACTTGGAAGGCATCATTTTTCTGTTCAAAATATGAATGAACCCAGGATATCTCCAGATAGTAGTTGATAGGTGGTGAGCTTTTTTTAAAAAAATACAGAATCCTATAATTTTGTATTAATTAGCACTGGCCAGCTTAAACACAGACTGTTAGAATATCTAACTGGATTTTTGTTCATTCAATAAGCAACTGACTTGTCTTGCAGGGTTGTTTTGTCCAGCCCTTCCCCATGTAAGCTGAATTAGGGTACTGCTATATCTGTGTTGAGTGTTTCCAATGGATTTTTTCATTTTTCAGGTACTACTTACTGATCATAGAATTTATTTTATAACATAAAAAGAATTTGGCAACGTATTTCTCATCTATCTCTAACTATATTTATTTTTCACACTTAGTTTCCAAGGACAAAGTGCCCCTCTGCCTTTCTACACTCTGCTTGTACCCTGGGCCCTGCTCTCTCTCCCATCTTGTTTCTCTATCCTCACATCACCATTTAGTGGTGGTTTTCTTTGTATAACTGTGATAAACGTCTTCTCTAGCCCTAAAAAAAAAAGGAAACAACAATCTTTCCTACTACCTTCATGTTCCTTCCTTCACATCCGGACTCAGGAAATGCTTTCAGCTTCGAGTTCCTCAGTTCCCAGTCATTCTTTGGCTAATTAGTCTTTCACCTCCTACTGTTTTTTTGTTTGTTTGTTTTTTGAGAGAGAGGCACAGGGGCGGGAGGTAGGCATTGTATACTCTCAAGGGTGGGGGGAAGAGCAGAGGGGGGGGGGAGAGAATGTTAAGCAGGCTGCATGCCCAGTGCAGAGCCCGACCCAGGGTTCACCTTACGACCCCGAGATCATGACCTGAGCCAAAATCAATAGTCAGACATTTAACCGACTGAGCCACCCAGGTGCCTCCTCTTACTGTTTTCTTATGATATTCTGGGAAAAGTGACCAGAGACACTTTCCTTGTCAAATCTAGTGTCTTTTTATCAGTCCTTACTCTGCCTGACCTATCCATAACCTTCTTTCCTATTGGCTACTCCCTTCTTGGATACTCCTCCAAGCTTTCTGTGGTAGATAAGATTCCTCTCTCAGGTTGACTTTCTTCCAGAATCTCAACCCCAGCCCTCATTTGGTCCTATTTTTACCCCCTTGGTGACCTCATCAGTGCCCAGTTTCAGCTTTCTCTCACGCTACCCAAATTGCCTTTATAAACTGCCTCCCCCTTTTGCATTCTCTACTTTCATTAATGGCATTACCATTTACCCTGGCACCCAAGATATTAATTGGAACCTTGAATCATGTTTTATTCCTTTTCTCCTTTACTGTCCTACTTAGTTATCAAGTCTTTTAAATTCTGCCTCATAAAAATGTCTTGCATTAGTCCCTCCTTCATTCCTAGTGCTTCCTTAGTATAGGCCTTCATTCCTTTTCCCCCACAAGAATCTTCAGTATGCTCTGGTTAAAAATAATATCATGTTATCCTTAAACCCTATAATAAGCTGGCATTCCTTGAAAACTCTCTTAGGCTGCCAGGCCTCCATGCCTTTACCATGTTATCCACTCTGCCTCTGTTCTTTATGCCCTTGCCAATCTGCTTACTCCTCAGAACCACTATTCTGATTTCTGTCATCAGAACCTGCTATCATAATGGTCTTTTAAACTGGTAACTGGGTTTCTCTAACAGCCGGGTTGTCAGTTTTTAACCTAATGTTTCAGAAAAAAAAAAAAATTGAGACTGTCCATGTTAAGAGAGACTTGGAATTGGAGATCCAGGCTGCCCAGTAGCACCAAATAATTTGTTATATCATACATTGATATACTAGGGGATTAAAGAAATTGCCATGTGATGTTAAATAGCATGGAGAAATGGAAAGAATAGAGATTTTTTTAAAAAAGATTTTATTTATTTGGCAGAGAGAGCTCAAGCTGGGGGAGCGGCAGGCAGGGAGAGAGAGAAGCAGGCTTCCCACTGAGCAGGGAGCCCGATGCAGGGCTCAATCTCAGAGCCCTGAGATCATGACCTGAGCCAAAGGCAGACGCTTACCCGACTGAGCCACTCAGGCGCCCAAGAATAGGGGTTTTTTTTTGTCAGGACATCTGGGTTGAATCTTCAGCTCTGCCACATACTCATTATATAATATCTAACAAACCATGCCTTTTGTGGGCCTCTCTTCAGATGTAAAATGCAGATAATACCCTGCTTACCTACCTCACAAGATGTGTTGTATTAAATAAAATGATGCATAAGAAACTGTAAATAGCATAGTGCTAATCAAATATTAATAAATATGGGTGTAATCCTGTGGCCTTGATTAATCTCTAAACCCAGAAACTCCTTCTGATACATGGCAGAGTGAGAAAAATCGCTATGGATTAGATTCTTTAGTAAGAACCCTGAGATGGGTTTCTCTTTAGATTGGCTGTTTGTTTTGCCCAGATCTGGAGGCCCTTCTTTTGGCCTTACTCTTTTCAGAACCGGTTTCTATTATATAGCAAAGATAAGGTCATTTACTGACTTCAGTTCTGAAGTTCTAGGACCCTTAATTTCTTTGCCAAAGTTGATTATGAATTGGGAGTTACATGACTGTCTTCCTAAAAGGGAACCTCATCATAGCTAATGAAGTTGCCACTGAAGGATTTCTGATCTGTTTAGTTTTCAGGGGTTGAGTATGAAAGGGGCAAAATTAGGATGCTTTTGGTATCACAAAAATAAATATCATGCTATTTTAACATCATAAGCCCAGGAGTGGGCAACTAATCAGAGATAAATATATGGTTTGTCTATATCCAATTTTATGCCTTTGACTCAGTCAAACTAATAGTTTAACTAATACATCTTAGTAGAGTTTAAAGCACAAACTTAAAATCGGTGAATAAGACTGAATCTCAAAAGTAATTATAACTTTTTTCACTCATACAAAAGTAGAGATCAGAAAGCTCCCATCGTGTCCCCACTGCCATGACTAATAAACAAAACACAGATGAAATGTTTAAACAATTATTTCTTCTAAAGATTTTCTAAATATTTTTCTATTTTAAATGTCTATGGCTTTGGGAAAAAATACCACCTGCTAGTAATGACCTATTTAAAGAGGGTAGAATTTATCATTTGTCACTTACCACTTGTTTCCAAAACTTCAGTTTACTATTGGGACTTTTCAAAAATTTAAAGAATTTTAAAATTTTCATTAAACACCTATGTGTGAGTAGTAATACACAATAATTAGTAAATAATGTTGGTGCTTCAGTAAATCGAGTTTTCAGGGCTATCGGCAGAGTAAATAAAATATGTTTTTGATAAAAGTAAACATCTTACCTATTTTTCTTCTTTATTATCTAATCAAAACAGTATGGCTTTGCCTAAAATGTAGTCAGAAATAGGTAAGATGGAGGATTTGGGGATCTGTGTCTAGAAGTCTCTCAGGGCTTCACTGGGGTCATGGTTCAGACCCGACAAACCCTTCAGAGATGACTTCTGTTTTAAAAGAATGTACTGGAAAATACTGTTAACTGATGAATTCAGAACCCTGCAGAATGGCACTATCCTGTTTTTTACTATGCTAAGTATTTTTATATGCTTCTTAGTAACTATAATAAATTTAGAGGTACTGAAAAGTTTTTTTAAAGTTCTCAAATTATTTAATGTTAAATGTGTTAAAAGGATGCAATCATTTGTAAAGTGTGAAAATCCTTTTTGTTGTACAGAATATTTTATTACCTTTGTAATATCTTTGTATACAGTGATTTTTTGTGGTAATATAATAAATGGAAAAACTCTAAAATTCTTAAAATTTTGTTGTGATTTGACTTTAAAAATATTGGTGAGATTTTGTGATTTATAGCATCCTCCTTGGGAAAGGTAGTTTGGTTGTTTAGAAACATGCATTTTTATGGAAAGCTATAGCTGAATATACCTGAATATGTAACTGTCCTTTGAAATTATAATTTTTGTAGAGTACTAAAGTGCATTTTTAAAAGATTTTCATTTTCTGCCTTCCTGATTTATTTCCTGCCTCTCTCCCTTCCTGTATAATTCAGGACAAACATCATTTGCTTATTCTGAGCTTATTCTGAGGTAGGTACTGCCACAGGGGGCAAAGGTGGGGCCCAGTGTGGGATACAGGGTGAAGCCTGAGGAGAACATTTGAGGGTAGTAGTATGGAGGGGACTCTCAGGGATCTGGAATAAGGACGCAGCAAAAGGTTTTTATGAGAGGGACTGATCTACAAGCAAATATATTAAGGCTAATGGAAGCCAGATTTTGTCAGAGAAAGGTATTACAAATAAAAAAGGGAGAAAACTAGAATAAGGTTGGAATTGGAAGTACTGGTATACAACTCCCAATTTTCAATATATGTAAAGAAACTGTGTGCGTGTGTGCGCGTGTGTGCGTGCGTGCACGTGTGTATGCGTTTGCATTTGTTAGTAACAAATTATAACCTATTGAACAAAATAGGAACCCACAAATCCACAAGAAGGGAAAGTTCTACCTTTCAATGGAATGCTAACCAACAACTGTAAAAGGAATGGTAGAATTAGATCAATTTTTGACAAATCTTCAGTAAATGCTAAAACTAGTGGATGAATGTTTGATGGTCTCCTTACAAGATACTTATTAATTAAAGGGAAAAAAGAGTAACTATAAAAGTAGAGGAGCTTGGCAGACACAACCTTCATTAACTGATTAAAATCCAGTCATCAGTAACTGCACAAATCAAAATTGTATGACACCTGATAAGATGAAAGAAGTTAGTATCTCTTATGTGGTATTCTTGCTAGAAAGGTACAGCCTGAATCTAATAATAAGGAAACACCAGGCAAACCCAAATTGAAGAGCAATCTACAAAATAACTGACCTGAAACCTTCAAAAATGTTAAAATAATGAAAGCCAAGGAAATATGAACTGTTTCAGATTGGGGGAGACTAAAGAGACATAACAGCTATGTGCAAAGGGTGATCCCTTGCCTGTGGAAGTCCCTGTTGGGACAGCTGGTGAGACTTGAGTGGGCTCTGTGGATTACATGGTTGTAATATCCATATTAACTTCCTGAATTGATAGTTCTATTGTGGTGAAGTAGAAGAATGTCCTTGTTTGTAGAAATTATACGCTAAAGTATTCAGGGTGATGAAACATCACCAGCTCAATGGTTTGGAGTGGAGGTCCTTTGTACTTCTTGCAACTTTCCTGTCAGTTTGAAATTATTTCAAGGTGAAAAAAATTAAATGACTATCATAAAAGCAGTATTTATTTTCCATAATAAAAAAAAGTACCATTAAAAAAAAAATGGGGCTTAAACTCTACCCTGAGATCAAGACCTGAGCTGAGATCAAAAGTCAGACACTTACCTGACTGAACCACCCAGGCACCAAAAGGGCACCAGTTTTAAAAATCAGAAAACCTTGCATCAAAGTTCATTCTCTTTGTATGGGCTTAAAAATCAAGAATAAAGCTTCAAAAGAAAAGCCTAAGTAAGATGTTTTTCTCTTTAGAAATGGAAATTTAACTTCTAAGTTTATTTCATATAACTTGTTAATGTAACCGGTTATCTTACTTGCTTACTTGGTAAATTCTTCCCTTCCTTCCTACTTCCTTCCTTCCTCTCCATCCTTTCCTTATTTCTAACTTTTCCAGGTATTCAGAGTTGAGTTGATGTTTTTCCTAAACTAAATCACAGACTCTATTTGGGACAAAGAAATACTAAGAAGTAAAAAAGGGCCCTTTCTCTAAGTGTTATAAAAGATTTAACTAGAATTTAAATAAAATTTTGGGGAAAAAAAGCTATGAATGGGTATTGAGGAGGGCAATTGTTATGATGAGCACTGGGTGTTTTTTGTTAAGTAATGAATCACTAAATTCTACTCCTGAAACCAATATTACACTATATGTTACTAGAATTTAAATAAAAATTTGAAAAGAAAAAAAATTAAAAAATAAAGCCATGAGAAGAGATCACAAAACTAATTTTAAAATAATTTTATATTGGCAAAAGTGAACCTATAGTACTTTCATTAATGTTCCTAGTTCTTGCATAAAACAGACCTACACTGATTTTTAACAACCTGTGTCTCATAATATATGAACATATGGAATAAGTAAAGTATATACAGCTAATGTTTACTTTTTGCTTGAAATTTTGCATAATGTCAGGAATAGAAATTTAAATCAAAATCTATTAAGGAAGTTCTTAATTTTTCCATTTTGCAGATTCCACTAAATTCAAAGTTAAGCTAAAAAGAAACATGCAAAAGACTATCTCCCCAATTATTTAAATCTTTTTTGAAGCAAAACTTCCCCAGAAACGGAGAAACATTCACACAAAAGTTCTTACCTGTTTATCAGAAGTTTATTTCTATTATCCCTTTCTTATTTTCTGGCATGGAAAATAGTGAAACAATTATTTGCTAGTATTCACATATGAAACTTCTTCATGTCAATTAAATAGTTTTCCTGATTTCTAAAATGAATAATACATCTTGGTATCTATGAAGTATGTATAATGAAGAGATGGGAAACAATCATCCAATACTATCCAAGTCACATGTGTTCTAAAATAAGCTCTCAGATAGTTCAATCAGGGTGAAAGAAATTACTACTTAAATCTGAAATTTTAATGAGACTGCTGAAACGTTTCTCTTAATGACCCATCCATTTTCTTTAGGTTTAGCTTATTTCATTTTTCCTTCTTCATAGTACCAACTGATGATTAATTTATTAACAAATGGTAATCATGTAAGATCATATGAAATATACTTGGTCTATTTTTTGGCAAGCTCCTTGATTTGGTTTCTAAATTCCAAAAGTCATTTCTGATGGTTAGTGCATTTGTTTATTTTAATTATTTTTTTGGTTAGTGCATTTAAATGACATTCTCAGGTGCCTCCTTCACACAGTGGGTGCTCAATAACAAGAGTTCTTAAGAAAGGACCCTAGAGACCAGGAAACTTCAGTTTTAGCCCCTGATATGGAAGTAACAATTTTAGATAAATCATTTAACTTTCATTCTTTGGTTTCATATTTATAAAATGGAAATGATAATATCCTATCCACTTGATGAAGATGTTTGAAATTGGATAATATATTGAAGCACTCTGGTATAATAGCAGATTGTTTAGCAATCTTAATTTTTCAAAGTCTTATCCCTGGGTTTGAAGTTACTGAAGGCACTTGTGTCTTCTTATTTAAAAGATTTATGGAAGTCTCTTAACAGGGTATGCCTCATTTCCTAAGGTTTCACCCCTCCCCAGGAAACATATTGATATTTTTAAGTCATCAAAATAGTAACTTGAAGTCATTAAGATTTGTGACAGATTATACAAAAAGTACTTCTGTTGGTAATAGCTTGTTTAAAGCTTACTGGGAAAAATATTAATGATGTTAGATTTGCATTTGATATCTTAGAATATTATAGGATACTGTACTGTATAAATCTAGATATAACTTACCAAGATCATTTTTAAAATTTAGAACATGATTTTGAAGGTGGTATGTCTTGTGGAGGGAAATTTTGCTGAAAGAAATTATAGCTTCTCAGATTATCAGAGAATGTATCCTGTTTGTGTACTTCTCTAAATGAAAGAATTAAGAGAATGTTTTCATTATTCATAGTCTGGCATGTAGGGGTTGGAGAGGGAACAAGAAAAATCATAAGACATCCTTAGAACATTTAACACAAAATATACACATACATAGATCCTGAGATGTTACAACAAATTTTAAAATACATAGATCAACGTGATCCAAATGGTTTCCAAGACACTGTAATGGTGAGTAAACAGCCATTATACAGTGTATGCTGAATGGAGGTCCACATCATGCCACAAAAACCCTACTCTGTGTGTCCGGTTGAAAGCTAGTCATCCAGAGCAGGGGGCCAGTCAACATCTACAGACTAGAAGGAAGAAAACAAGACATGAAAACATATTACTGTTCCAGTAAGCATTTGCCGGTAATGCTGCAGAAACTTAATAGTTTTTAATAAAAGGCAGCAGAAGAAGCTTCATTTGAAGAAAAGTCATTGAATACCATAGTTCAACACTCTACTAGGCCTTGAGATTCTTGGACCCAAGGTCTGTTTCTGAATTCACAGAGTATTTGGTTACTCAGCTGGTTAAATTAATTGTACCTTTTGGCCAATAAGAGACTAGAGTACATCTAAATTTTGTAAATGTTATTTATGGGTAAAGAAACAAATTCAGGGAGCAACACCAACTTCCCCTCAAAAGTCTCGGCAACTTTTATTCTTCAGATCATTTTCATTTTCCCATCTTACATTTAACAAGCACTAGTCTATTCACTTATGGTGTTACTTGTAACTTAGCAACCAAATGAGAAATAAATGAGTATGGAAGAACTAGAAAAGGATAAATGATCGTTGTGTATCATTTCAGAATTTTTGTTTCTTTTAAAATCAGTTTATTTCTACTCACTTGGTTTGGCTCTTCTAGAACAAAACCTTGATTTAAGTCATAATGAAATTACAGTAGCAGACTATTTTTTTTTTTCTCCACATAAAACAATCATGTCCTAGGCTTTAGAAGTAGTTTAACTACCCTAGAGGGCCTAATTTGAGAAGTTTAAAAAAGTCCACTGTGCCCATGTCTTGTTACCGGTTTTTTTGAGACTTAAATTTTAAAACCCAAAATGCTTTACCACAAGTGATTTTTTAAATTAATCTATGAGTCACTGCCAGAATCAGAAAAATTTTATCAGAAAAGCCCAAATAACTATTGTGTGTGTACATGTGTATCTTTTAGAAATCCCAAGAAGATATTTTGGTTCTATTTCAGAACATGGCCACATACTGAACACCCACATATAACCTAATGGGTTGTTTCTCATGCCTGAAAACTAAACATTGCAGGTCACAAAGTCTTGTATGTGTTGAAAGCAGGGGAGGTTTAAAAAGTCCTACAGGTGATTTCCAATGGACAAACAGGGATGAGGAACATTGGCCCGTGACTCTTGATATTCCTAAGTTGTTCTGAGAATTAAGATCAAAGAAGATGAATGCAGGTGAGATTTTCTTTAACAAAAGGTTGTCTTCCTCAAAATAACAGTCCCTCTGAGAAGGCTCCCTGCAACCTTGAAGGTGCTGTCAATGGCTGTATTGCAGGAGCTGTATAAAATCTAGCTGAAAGCACTCAAGAGAATCGCTGGTAAGATGATAATGCTCCTGTAATATGTGATTACCATAGCTGTCTGCACACGAGGCAACTGTACCCACTTCTTTTGATAATTGATATTAATCCCAAGTGCAAAACGCTAGTCTCCTAATTTTTTTTTTGGCTGGTGGGGAGGCATGGGAGAGGGACCCCATTCTTCATCAGGTATTCGCCAAGGAGCACAGTTGTGACTTAGTACCTTTTTGATGCTCAAATGAGAAAATATATTTTTATGGAGAACTGCCGGAAGGACCTATTCAATCCACTCTTCTAAATACTTAAGAATTTAACCTTGTTTCAATTCAGACTCTAAGAGCAGAGAATTTGTACCACATCATAGGGGTCCCTTATACAACTGCTTTTATTAATAACCATTGGCTCATCCCATTTTCTATACCTGTCCTGAATGTATGTTTCTGAGTAGTCTGCCTTAAATTTTTTATAAAACAAAATAGGTATGGGAATGAACTCTGTAGAGTCCAAAGGACATATGAAGGGCTCTTAAGTTTCATTTCCTTGCTCCATTTAAAGGTTTAAGACCTCACACCCCATGTAAATTAGCTATATATTTGCAAGGATCATAAATGAGATCTTGTATTTTTTACAAAGATAAAAATTCCAAAGACAGTCCCTCCCTGCAATACAATGCTACTGTGAGATTTTGACCATTTTCAAATACCTGTTAAGGTGAGTAGAGATAGATACCTAGTTGGCTTAATGCCCACTCCCCTCCCCCAAAAGCATAACCTTGGCTGAATTCAATGTACAAATTGTGGGTACTTCCACAATAAAATGGTTTACCTCAACATCCAGCTCAAGAATGTCTGCAGTCACATTCATTAGAGAGCCAATGTTCGGCTTGGTTCTCCCAAAGTCTCCATGCACAAACTCTTTAATGTAGCTGGGGTTTGTTTAAGGAAACAATGGAGATAGCTATGCAGCACTAACTGGTGAGATTTGATAGGTGAAAGGGAAATGACAGACAAAAGCAGAAATGTTACAAGGGAGAGGTTATTTCTGAGCTGTGACCCATGATGTGTATCTTAGAAAATAAGCTTTAGCAAACTGGTTCCTACCAGCCTGGCAGCTAACAGCAGGACCTGGCACCTGTGTTTACATCAAACTTCCCAAAAGTCATGACTTTCTTTTTTCTCTGGCTCATCTCCAAGGGCCAAGGTTTGGATATGGATTATTTTTTTAATTTTTTTTCAAGATTTTTAACTAGAATTTAAGTGAAAAATGGAAATAAAAAATACTTTTTTTAAATTTTTAAGTAATCTCTACATTCAACATGGGGCTCAAACCCACAACCCGAGATCAAAAGTCCCATGTTCCACTGCCTGAACCAACCAGGCGTCCCTGGATATGGATTTTTAAAATGAACTGTACTTCAATGCTAACCAAAACAAAAAACAACCTTCACTATTTTTTCTTTGCCACAAATTCCATTTTGTCATCTTTTTGGTCCCATTTTTCAATGATGGCAGCTAACATCTGCCAGATGATAGGTTTCCACAGGGTCACACAATGATGGCTTTCCTGGTAATGTGACTCAGTGACACAGTAGCAGTAGGATGGGAGGGACAATGAAATATTAATTTAGGGGCGCTGGGTGGCTCAGTTGTTAAGCGTCTGCCTTCAGCTCAGGTCATGATTCCAGGGTCCTGGGATCGAGCCCCACATCGGGCTCCCTGCTTGGCGGGGAGTCTCCTTCTCCTTCCCCCACTCCCCCTGCTTGTGTTCCCTCTCTCGCTGCCTCTCTCTCTCTGTCAAATAAAATCTTAAAAAAAAAAAGAATATTAATTTAGTCGCTGATAAAGGCCCTTCAGAAGGATTATCAAAGGACCCAAGTTTTAGCTGTTTGCAACTTTTACATGGTTAGCAAGAGAAGTCTTTTGAAAGGAGCGATTTCATGTTTCCTTCATAAGGTCTTCAAATTTTGATGTCAATGGCCAATCCTAGAATTACTCATTAAGATTACATTAATGTTCCTTACACAGGACTCTACTACAGCCTTGAAAATAGTTATCTGAGAGATATAATTTTGCTAGCATTCAGTAAAAACTCATTCAGCATTATGTTGTGTTCTATAAACTGGCACTTAGTATAAAATTTTAATATAATTTGAATAGGAAAAATAACTTTATTCTCAGATGATAAATAAAAATCTTACACCATGAATATGCTGATATTATGTCCTCACTTTCTGAAAGTGTATTCACTCTACTTTCACCAAATGTTTTGACTCAAGCTTAAGACATGTTTCTAGCAACTGCCTTCTTTGCTGAACTCATACTTACTCAACAATTGTCTTTTCTCTTTCTTTCGAGAATGCTACTTCTGAGTAGCAATGATGAGGGGAGATGACCAAAAAGCCCCAGAACAACCAGTTAAAAGGCCCAGAATTCTTATTCATATCCAGAAGGATGAGGTGTACGTCAAATGAACTAGTTCAGCATACTGACCAATATATGTGAAAAATTCGCATACTTCTGTGTATAACCACATGGTATCTAAAGCTTTAGCAGACGGTTTTTCTTGGCTAAGCCCATAAGTAACATATACATGCCTGGTCCTAAGAATGTTTTAATAAGATTGAAAAGACATTAGTTTCTTCAAAAGACCACTGCATTTCACCTTAGCACTCTAAAATAAAAGCTGGAATTAGGTAAAAAGATTTATTAAAAATCTGTGATTTCTTTGAAATTCCATCCACATTCCGCCTATAGTAGGCACATATATTCCAAACAACAAAGCTATAAAAGTCTGCCCACTGCAGTCTAAACAGATCATCCCTTGATCCAAACTAAAAATGTAAGAGATTTTAAGAGTAAATAACATCTACCTATTTCAGCTTAGCAAATCCTGGTCACTTCTGGGATAGGATGGGGTGGAGTGGCGTGGGGTTGGGGAGGAAGAAGAGAGAGGAGGTTGATGGAAAAAGAGAAACACTACAGCAACATGGTGAGAATGCTACTTGGGGATTAAAATGACATTTTTTGCCTTATACCCATAAATATGTCATTAGTTTTGTATTAGGTATCTTACCACTTCATGCTATTGGATCACTAAATAATATAAAACCAAGAAACAAATATTAGGAGCACTTTTAAAAAATAAACTAGAGCTAGGACTCTGGCAACTCCCTGATGTATTTTGACTAACAACTCAGAACGGATACAAAACCACACAAAACAGGGTACCATATGAACAAGTGATCATTTTTGGACTATTCTCTTGTTTTGGGCCAGTGGCCAAATAAAGTTAAGATCAGTATGTAAAGTAGGGCCACTCCCATCTACTATCAGTGTTTAGTGATTTGGGGCAAATGCTCAAAATGCTGAAAGGACCCAAGTGTGGTTATGGAAATGTGACTTGCAGAATGTATAAAGACACAAATCAATAAATGAATCAATCAGAACTGTTTCCTGAGTACTTACTATGCAGTCAGATTTGTGTGACACGCTATTTGAAAGTTCACGCTCTACCGGCTGCCGCCTCGTGGTTTAAAATGTCATTTTGAAAGATACAAATTAGAGGGGAACCCTACCCCCCCCAAAAAAGGACTCTTCCCCAACCTAATCCTTACCCTAATTGTTCCTAGATCAAGTTGCACCTATTTTCTAGCGCAGCGTGAACTCTTCCGACAGGGTTAGAGGATTGCTATGCGGAAGGCGAAAGGATACGTTCCAGCTTGAGTCTTCAGATAGAGGTGAAAATGATGTTCATCCACATAGCATGTCTCCATGGAGTGAATGATGCGAGTTCTCACAGCCAGGGGCCTCCGGTGAAGGACCCGCAGAGGTGTTTTCTGGTCGATCTTTAAGTCCTAGAGGAGGATGCGTTACACAACCATGGAGTCAGCTTTGCTGACCCGGGAAGCCTGTCTCAACACCTCCTCTGTCATCCATGCCCCACCACTGATGTTTTCTTTGGAGGACCTCATCTATCACTGTCAGGGTAGATACTAATACTATAATAAATTGTATTCCCTAAGGTTCAGGCTCTGTGGAACTTTTCATAACCTCATCCACAGTTACTTACTGGGCCCCAGTATGCCATTTTTAAAAAAGGCTTTGAAGTAAATGACCCCCAAGGTTTCTTTTGCTCTAATATTTAATCCATTAATTGAATTGAGCAGGACCCTGGAGTTCTAGTCTATTCTTTACTTTAACAGAGCTCTTCTAGAAGACCTGTTTTTACCCACCCACCCCCATCCCCCAGCAACCCAACAGATGACCTAACAGAGCTGAGGTGAGAAATGGCTATTTGTAGAAGGTGAGACCTCAGCATCACTGGTGGGTACGAGCAGTATGCATGTTTTAAGGACAACCATACACCTACGTACAAGGTTATTTTGTTGTTGTTGTATGAGAAGATATATCTGGAAAATTAACAGTTGCATCACTGTTTAGGGTAGTGTTTCAATATAATAATTGCAAAGAAGTGTGTACAATAAACCAGGACCTCTCAGTATTTGTAAGCCCAGTTCAAATTACTTGAGAATAATAATACTGCATGCCTTTTTTACAATTCAGATTTTTTTTAGGGGCACGGGCTTGTTTTTCTTATAATTAGAGATTTCCTTTTGTCACAAGATATAAATCAAGAAAGAGAGATTAATATTGTAGAAGGTCAACTAATTCTAAGTTTTAAAAATAGATATTGGGCATAACGAGAAATGTAGGTTCATAAGAACTTTGAATCTTCTGCCATTTCTTGTTGGAACAACTCCTTTCTAATTTACATGATTTGGGAGTGCCTGAAGCCATGCTAAGAATAGAAGGATTTCTGTCTGGTCTCCCCTCTATCAAGTTCTCTACCAAGAAAGAAAGAGCAAGTTCTGACAAAGACTATACTGGAAATGGTGTGACTGTTTTGATCATAGCAGTGAGTCAACGGCCCCTCCTAATTCATGAGTTTTATGATTCTCTAATGCTTTGATTTTAGAGGCACTTTGTTCTGCTGAGATAGGCTGTCTCCATAAGGTTTGACATTTCTCTGGCCACAAAGACAAAAAAAGGACAGGGCTGAACTGTTAAGGAATCTGTACAGATATAGCCTCCACTGTAGAATACAGAAATAGCTGGCTTCAAATGAATGACCAAGGAGTGCTCTTCTCCCTGTTTCCTTTCTTGCTACTCACTCCCAGGACTGCAAACCATGAACTCGTCAATGGAAGTACTAACTGAGCTGGTAGACCCACCACTGGACTTCCAACATAACGCTCGATCACCACACACTCCTGTGTGTGTTTTGTGTCTGCTTGCTTTCAGTAGACAAAAGGAAACCATTTACTCTAACAACGCACTCTGCTGGCCCCATTCTGCTGAATTTTCAGAAAAACATATGCATATACCCAAAAGATTTTTTTTCCTTAAAAGTAGGTTGCCCTTAAAAAAGAAGAGACACGTAGTAAATTTAAAGTGACTGTTTCTCAAAATGGGACAGTAACTCAGTTTTTGTATTTTTGATGACAATAGGAATATTTGAAAATAGTCTTAACCCCAACACAAAAAATTATTAGAAGTCAGCTAGTCCCATCAGTCTATTTGGGCTGTGAACCATTAAAGAGATCCTTTCACTGCTTACTCTGTACCTCCAAAATCATCTTTCAGCATTATTCAGCATTATTTCTGATTTAGCTCTGAATATAGCTACCTCCAGATGATGAATCTATTTTTTTTTAAATAGGCTCCACACCTAATGTGGGGCTTGAACTCATGACTCCAAGATCAAGAGTCACATGCTCTACCAACTGAGCCATCCAGGTACCCCTGAATCTATTTTTAAAATGAGTTAATTTTCCCCCCAGCATTCTGAATGACTTGTACACGTGATGGAAAAGAGGTTTAGAAATTTGTTTTGCGGGGCGCCTGGGTGGCTCAGTCGTTAAGCGTCTGCCTTCCGCTCAGGTCATGATCTCAGGGTCCTGGGATTTAGCCCCGCATCAGGCTCCCTGCTCAGTGGGAAGTCTGCTTCTCCCTCTCCCACTCCCCGTGCTTGTGTTCCCTCTCTCGCTGTGTCTCTGTCAAATAAATAAAATCTTTAAAAAAAAATTTGTTTTGTAATCTTAAAGATATCTGTCTAGAGTTAAACTATCATCCTAAAGGCCCTAGATAATGGGCCAAAAGCCAATAGCTTCTGATACAAAATCACAGAACCTGAGACCTGGAGGCCCTCTGGGGGTGATATAGTCCACCCCCAAGGTTAGAGATGAACTTGTCTAAGCGGGTAAATGACTCCTATGCTTTCACCAGACACTTATACTATAAACATGATTCTGCACTTCACTTTCTTTCTCATAATGTCATGGGTATTTCTGTAAGTCATAGCTGTAGACCTACCTCTATCCTTTTTTCCAACAATTTTAGGTATATATACATAAAATAACAAATTAAATGGGATCACATGCTGTTTTAGTTTTTTTTTAAATAGCTTTATAATATGCCAGCTTGTTCTTCCCTTTCCTTTTTGAAGGAAATTCACTTTGTTCCTAGTTGTGCTGTTGATTTTGCCGCTTTGAATCAAGTAAACATCTTTGTGCACATATACTTATGCAATGGAGTTTTATTTCTTCCAGATAGATTGCCAGTAGTAAAAGGGTTGGGTAGAAGACCAGTATATTTTTAATTTTTACAGTCATCATTACATTGTCTTCCAAAAAGGCTAAATACTTTATATTTCTACTGACAAAGTATGCAACTAGCTTTCTCCTCCATGCCACCCAGTAGGTGTTACTAGTCTCAGAGGACTAAAGTGAGGTCTTATTGTTACTTCAATCCAGAAGTGGAACATCTATTCAGATGATTCTTGGCCATTTGGAGTTGCTCGTTTTCAGCTGCTTATTCATATCCTTTGTCTATTTTTCATAAGCATAAATCCTATTTATGGTATCTTTTGCCATACAATTTGTTTTCTACATAGTCATATATATGTGTATACACAAACACACACATGTGTGTGTGTTTAAATCACAATGTATCCTCCTCTATATACTCTTTATAGCTTGTTTTCTTCCCCCTTAGCATCTATCAGGAACATTTTCCTTTGTTAATAAATAGTCATCTACCACATAATTTCTAACAACTGGCTAGCAATAGCTCATCATACAGATAAATGGTAAGATTAAGCCATTCTCCTCTTGTAGGTCATCTAAATTATTACAAATATTGCCCATTTAAACAATGTTGTGATAACTGTAAACATCTCTGTGCCCATTTATGCTCATTCCTTACATTTGAGAGTAAATTATCATTACAGGAAGAGTCAAGGACAGGTGGGAAGAAATATGCAAATGAATAGGCAGACCCTCTACAGTGATATGCTCATGCGAAGGAAAATCCAGCATGTGCCCAAATATTTGTGCTGTACATATACTATCCTTCTTAAAAATTTATAATATGTTTTATTTATGTACTTAATCTTAGCATCAGTTCTATTAGGTCAATTCTATTTTGTATTTCCTTTCTACAGATGGCCAAATATAATAATAGCATTGCTGAGGTTTTCTATGTGCCAGATACTGTTCTAAGTGCTTGATATGACTAAACTCATTTCATTCTTCTAATTTTATAGATGAAAAAACTGAAGCATAAAGAGGATAAGCAACTTGTCCAAAGTCACACAACTATGAAAGGCAGATCCAGGATTTGCATCCAAGCAATCTGTGCCCAGAGGCAGTCTCTTAATCACTAGCAATGCTGTCTCTCAAACAGGCTTGATGAATTGCCCAGTCATTCAACCAGCAAATGGCAAAGCCAGGATTTGAAAGCAGGTCTTACATTCCCCAAAGCCCATGCTCTATGACTTGCTAGTAATAAACTAAAAGTGAAAGGACTCTTTTATAGGCAATCAAAAAATAAAATAAAGAGTTAGAGCACTTAGCTACCTTTATGCCATTTAGGAATTCAATGTCTTTCTTCTGTATGACTTTATTTGTCCATATTAAGGCACTATAGGACTTGGTCTTTTCTTCTTCACCTTCTTTCATATGTCCTATTGCCTCTCTACACAAAAACAGTAAAAGGAAGTTTATCTAAATACACAGAATACACACAAGCCTTTCCCCAAACTTCCCTTTCTTTAAAAATAGCTTTATTCAGATAAAATTTACATACAATTCCTATTTTAACTGTACGATTCAGTGATTTCTAGCATGTTTACAGAGTTGTGTGGCTATCACCATAATCTAATTTTAGAATACTTCATCACCCCAAAAAAGAAACTCCATACCTATTTGCAGTCACTTCCCATGCCCTGTTTCCCCCAGCCTTTGGCACCACTAATTGACTTTCTATCTCTACAGATTTCCCTACTCTGAATATTTCATATAAAATAGAATCATACAATATGTGGTGTGTGGTCTCTGGCTTCTTTCACTTCATAAAGTTTTCAAGGTTCATCCATGTTGGAGCATATATCAGTCAGTACTTTTTTCCTTTTTTTTTACTGCATAATATTCCATTGTATGGAGATACCATATATTATCCATGGACATTTGGGTTGTTTCTATTTTTTTGGTATTATGAATAATGCTACTTTGAACATTCATGTAGAAGTCTCTGTGTGGATGTACACTTTCATTTCTCTTGGTATATATCTAGAAGTGGTATTGCTAGGTCATAATGGTAACTCTACATTTAACCTTCTGGGAAACTGCCAAACTGTCTTTCAAAGGGGCCATGCTTACAATCCCACAGCAATATATGAGGGTTCCGATTTCTCCACATCTTTGCCAACATTTGTTTTTCTTCTGTCTTTCTGATTATAGCCATCCTAGTGAGGGTACAGTGAGCTATCCTGAGGTTTTGATTTGCCCTTCCCCAATGGCAAATAATACTGAGCATTTTTTTCATGTATTCATTCATTAATTGTATATCCTCTTTGGAGAAATGTCCACTTAATCATCTCCCTCATTTTTAATTGAGTTGTTTTCTTATTATTGAGTTGTAAGAGTTCTTTATATATTCTAGATACAATTTCCTTAACAGATAAATGACCTACAACCAAAACTTCCCTTTTGAGATCAGCTCCAGTGAGCCTACCCTTACCTTGTGACAAGCTGCAAGTCACGAACTTGGATTTTGTTAGACGAATTATTAATTTTCTGTAGTAGCAGAAAAGGAAAAACAATTAGCAATTCTAGTTCAGTTACAGAGTTGCAGAAACATGACAATTTCCATGTCATGAAGTGGTTTACCTGCTGAAGTTCCTTAATTTCTTGTGAAGTGAAATGTACTCTATGAGGATTCACCAGCTCAATTGCAAAGGGCCTTCCTGGCAGCACACACCCGTCATGAAACAGAAACGTGTTGATGGAGTTAACATTTGGGCTAATGCAAGAGGGTTAGGAGGTGTGAAAAAACGAGTTGAGCTCTAGAGGACTGAAAGTTTAGTGACATGACTACATCTGGGAGAGGGAAGGATGTGTGAAAGAATCAAGGGGCTTTTTGGGGGCTGCTAAACCCCACTACAGGCAATATGTGAAAATGACTGTTTTCCCAAAGGTCCATGAACAAGCCTGTGTTAATTACAAAATAAAATTCAAACAACTGCTAATTGACCTGATTACACTAAAGTAACGTTATCACACACAGCAATGCCCAGGTATACCAGGCTGAAATCCATTCTTCTAAGTCAAATCCACTAGTGAAATGGAAAAGCTATGATTCCATAAGGGGAAGGGACTATTAATCTCAAGCTCAGGATTAACTCTCATCATCTTTTTTGTAATGCAACAATGTAAAATGAGAGAAATGGAGGCTAAGAGAGCAGAATCGCTTTTTAAATGAAGATGTGCATTTTGAAAACTATACTGGTACTGCTGAAATGTTATCAAACGGAACAATTAATAAGCAAACTTTTGGAAAAACTCAGGCACCGCCTTGTTAATGCACATAAAAGTCCCTTAGAACCTATAGGTATGCAATAAGGACGGCCTCTTAAGAAATGAATCCTGTTAAGACACAATCATATAATTTATAAAGGTAGCTCCACAATCCACAAAGCTTCCTCACTGGGAGAAGCTCTGGGCTCTGCCCACTTTGGTTTTAACTAAGTGACTACAGTGAACCTGCTGTCTGAGAAGGGTGATAGTCTGAAAGTTAGCTCTAATCAAGTGACGCTATTGCAATCTTACCATTTCCTAATGTTCTCACATCTACATCTTCTCTTCCAGAGGAGGAAAAATTAAAACCTTTGCAAAGCAGATAAAGAAAAATAATCAGTAACATAATAACCCTAAGATTTTCATTCCCACCCTTTGGTAAAAACTTCATTTGTCTTAAACAATCTACAGGAGAATTCCAAGGGATAGTCATCCCACCTCTAATAAAAATAGCAATGATAGTAAGAAATACCATTTATTGAGCACCTGTTATATGCTGGGCATTGAGCTAAAATTCTGCATACATTATTTCCTTTAATCTTTATTATAACCTTATGATGTAGGTATTAAATAAAGGAACACCAAGCTTCTAAAAGGATAACTATTTTTCCCAAGACCACATGATTAAATGGCAGAGCTGTTCCTGATGTCAAAGCTAGACCTTAAGGGGAAAGCCAAAGGGAGAGAGCACTGTTTGGAGGAAGGTTCCACTACAAGCCTGGCCACAAGCTTATGGTGAAAAATCTATCATCTTCCCTTTTTTCCTTAAAACAAAACAAAGCAAAAACATTTATTTGAAAATTAAACTCTATGAAAAGAAGAAGAGGGGGAGAAAAGGGTTTTAAAGCAAATTATTTATGTTAAACAAACCTAAGCTGGGATCACAAAACTGGTGTTCATTCTAAGATAGATGGATCATCCTAGACTAAAAAGCTGCAAATATTAGAATGGAAAATGGTATAAAAAAGGGGGGGGCAGGGGTTATATGACAACTTCCTTAGATACGAAACTGATGACTTCACCACCATCACCATAGGAAACATTACCACAGGCAGGCATTATTATAAATGTTTCATATATGTTAACACTATGAGGTAGGTACTATCATTATCCTCATTTTACTTACAAGGAAAATGAAACAGACAGGATAGGTAACTTGCCTAAGATCACATCACTGGTAGGTGATAAGGTCAGGATTTGAACCAGACAATCTGACTCCAGAGTCTCTTAACCACCACAAAACAGGCTGAAGAGTCCATACTCATGCGCACAGGGAAAGCAAGACCAATCATCTCAGAGCAGGGATTAGAAAAGGCTGCTATGTTTGGAGAACTCTGGTCAGTCATTAGAATTTGGCAAAGTGTAAGATCTCTGAACACATATATTGGAGGCTAGAACTCAGACTCACACCCTGACTTATTCATTCAGGAACAAGTATCTACAGTGGGCATGTGCAAGTCACTGTGCTAGATCCTGGGGAGACAAACAAGATGGACCCAGGGCTTACTGTTTGTGGAGGGGTAAGGACTGTAATATAGTGGGTAGGGCTAGGACAGGAAGCATACAGGAACATTCCTGTACAAAGAACACAGTTACAAGCATGAGCTATGAGGTTTGTATTTATTCCTCAATGGCCCAGCCACTTTGGAGAGCACAAGATGAGGAAGAATGGGATAGCTGGGAAGGACAAATGGGAAAGGTGGAAGGAGGGTGAACACCATTCTGACAGCCACTTTTTTCCAAGAAAAGAGTCTGTATGTAAAGGTCTCATGTAGATTTTAGAAAAAGGAAGGCTAACAGCCTTGAAAAGTCCTATGAAAATGACACTGAAGATTAGCCCTCTTCCCTAGGATGTTTAGCTGTGAAGAAAGTAGGATTTCATTCTTCTTTCACCTCTAAGAAATCCCTTTTGCAAGCCAAGGTCAACACTTTGGGGAAATAGGCTCTGAGCTGTTGTCTGTCATGTACCGCCAGGGTCAAGTAGGCTCCTCTCTGCCCCCAGGGCTCAAAGCTATGGATCTCACCAAAAGTGGCAACGCAGGGCTGGCTAGGTAAGGGCTAGATATCCAATGTAGGCCTAGAATTTAAGCTGTTGCGTTAACACCTGAGACCCGGTCAGGTAAGCAGCTGCGAAAGCTACAGGGTCAGGCTCTTCTTGAGGCAGAGAATCTAAGCCAGGCAAGGAGTAGGATTCTGTGAACCATTAAGTCCCAAAGAACCCTCCCTTCCATGTTTATAGTCCATTTTTAAGCTATTAATAAAAACCAGAGTAACATCAGTAGCTTCTAGGCAGTCAACAGACTCAAGAGTAGCACTAAGTAGGGGTGGATAGCTAAATGGAGAGTCCAGGTGGTATTTGGGAAGCTGAAAGATACTGACTCCCTGGGGCTGTGATCTGTCTTACACCTGCCCACTTCCATCTCCAAACCAGGGCACCAGGGGATCCACAGTGACTGAGCCATAACCTGTCCCTGGTAGGGGTGAAGGGAATGAACAGGACACAAAGAGATAAGTCTACCAGTGACAGCTAAATCAGACCAGAAATCTCCAGTTCATAAACTAGCCCATAAAACTTCCACAAATTCTAGCCCATTAATAAGAAAGAGTTGCAGAAAGCAAGGCTCTTGAGAAGTCCAGAGAAACATTAAATCTAGACAAAGGAAGAAGGGGCATTTATTATATCTTTTAGAAAAGTATTTCAAATTTGGACACTTCATAAAGAATATTTTTGGGGGTAACCTTTAACCCTTTATTCCTGTGCAATTATGGATATTAGCTGACAAAAAAAGGAAAAGGAGTTACCATCTTAAGTATTAGGAAATACATGTTTAAAATTTGGTTGAGTTTTCTTTTTTTTTTTTAATGATTTTATTTTTAAGTAATCTCTATACCCAACTTGGGGCTCGAACTCACAACCCTGAGACTAAGAGTCACATACTCCACCAACCGAGCCAGCCAGGTGAGTTTTCTAAATTCACATTATGCCTTGTCTTATCCCCCTAATTCTGCAAGTTCTTTGAGCCTTTTGCTCAAAGGAACAGATATTTCAAAACCAAAACCAACCAAGGGTAAGAATGATCAGCAGTTCAGCAGTTTAGCTAGTCTGCAGTGGTCCATATACCCAGGGCAGACAGATGATGCAACTGACAAATGGGCAGAGGCCAGATAATAAAGGCCTCAGAAGATCAAGTTCAGTAGTTTGGACTTTCATCCTGTATGTAGTCATTGACAAGTTTTCAGCAGGGAAATAACATGACAGATATTTATTCAATAAGTGAAATAATAAATGGGTTAGGGGAAAATTTCTTAGACACATTGACTTTGAGAGTATGTCAAAGTTTACTACTCATTAACTAGGGGACTAGTGAGGGGATAATATGATGTGCCTGTTTAAAGTAACTGAGCAACAAGTTTGTATCTCCCATTTAGGGAAAGGAATCTTTATTTTTTATTTTTATATATTCATTTATTTAATTTTTTAAAGATTTTATTTATTTATCTGAGAGAGAGAGTGTAGATAACAGGGAGAGGGAGAGAGAATCTGAAGTAGACTCGGGCACTGAGCACAGAGCACAATGAAACTAAGAGTCAGATGCTCAATCTACTGAGTCACCCAGGTGCCCCATGGGGAAGGAATCTTTATATAAGTAGCTAGATTACTTCATATAATACTGCTTATTTTCAGAGAGTTGTAAACCATAGAAGTACAACAGTCAGAACCATCTTCCCAGAGCTGTCAGACATGAACCACAGAAAGAACAATATATCTGAGATGCACAGGTTTAGCAAATTGATGCTACCAGTCAGGCATTTCAAACAACAGGTTTTATCCCCAAGAAGCAGCCATTTAGCACAGAAGCCCAGAGGTCTGCTTTTTCTCAAGCAGCTCTCAATAAATTTCCTCAGGATACAATTACAGACACTAAACACACAGTTTACTTCATTTTCAGTTTGGGTATAATTTCTCCCCCCTCAAATGGAAAATGAAACCAAGCTAACTTCATGAAAGATTGCAAGGGGGAAACATACAGCTGTTTCAGAGCCTCCCAACAGCCCTATTGGTAATGGGAGCTTCCTTAGGACCCAAATAATCAAAACTGAAAGTTTCTTGAATCATCTTATAGAAAGAAAGTAAGGTGGCCCCAAAAAGAGTTTGGAAGAGACTTTTTGCGCTAAAGCTTGATTTTCACTTCTTCATAACTTGGATAATTCTTATGAGGTAACCAGTATGTAAATATTAAGTAGGTAAAAACTCATGCCAATATCCCAGAGTCTTGACTGCTAAGATTTTGGAAAATGTTAGGTTGCTAGATTAATTTCTTCTTTATTCAGTTAACATTTTTTTTTTTAAAGGATTTTATTTATTTATTTGACAGAGAGAAAGGAAAAGCACAAGCAGGGGGAGCTACAGGCAGAGGCAGAGGGAGAAGCAGGCTCCCCGCCGAGCAAGGAGCCCGATGAGGGGCTCGATCCCAGGACCCTGGGATCATGACCTGAGCTGAAGGCAGACAGTTAACCGACTGAGCCACCCAGGGGCCCCTCAGTAAAGAATTCTTAAAGACCCTTAAAAAGAGGGTTCACCAACCCAATAGGCAACAAATTATAAGAAGGATATAGTTTAAAGTGCTCTTTCCTCTTGACAAGCCAGAGAACTGGAAGGGACAGCCATATCTCTTCTCATCATCTGCCTGCCTCCCATTCCTAAAGCAGGTCTGTCTTAAGGTTTTTCAGAGAGAAGGTGGATATCTAGTTGGTTCCTCAAAAAAAGTGGTCTAATTATGCTAGGAGACCCACTTCAAAGTAAATCATTATTTACTGCCTACAGTTTTTCCTGATGTACAACATTATTTTCTGCAATTGAAATCTTAGCCCCTTTCCTCTAGTCTAATCCTAGGTGAAATCACAAGGCTCTATGCTGCCCGTGACCTGACAAACCTACTGAGACAAAGAAAACATAAACCTGACAGGATCTGACTCATCCCACAAACCTGGGCTCATTAATACCTGGAAAATGAAAACACAACATACTATCATTAGGTCGTTGTAAAATGGTAGCTGTTGATCTATTTTCTCTAGTCTTGAACTTCATCCCAGGATATTTTAGCAGTTAAGATGGGAGCTAGGCATTTGCCAGTGATTATTCTTGAACAAGCACTGGATGTGGAAGTTGTGTTTTAATTTCCTCATATTCCCCCAAAAGAGGCCAAGTCTGAGGTGTCCCAAGGTCAGAGCTTAAGGACATTCACTTAAAATAGTTTCAGTGGTTTTGCATTTGCCCAGTCATCTTGAGAAAGGAAAGAAATACTTTAAAGAAATCCAGCCCAAGTCAGAGGTGCTCAGGACATGGTGACTCCTGTTCATGGGAAGCTGCCAGGCAAGGAGCCCAGATTTAGCGGTGATTTACAAAATTTAGAAATCCTTCTTGCCACCTCCAAGAAACCTATTCATGAATGACAATGTATTTAAAATATAAATATTATAACACTTACTCTCTGCTTTGAATACTGCCAAAAGATGATCTGAAATTAATTCTTCCACTGAAGATTCCAGCTTCCTTTCTCCATCAATTATCCAAGGAGTCTGTGGTAAATTCCTGGAATATTTATTATATCTCCCTGCCAAAGAAACATAAGGTAGCCTGGATGGAATGGTATCATTAACACATTAGGATAAAACAACTATTTATTGAGTGCCAATATCCTAGGTACCATGACATAAAACAATGTTTAGCCTTCAACTAACAATCTAATTTGGGAAGCCAGCACAGATATATAAATAATTAAAAGATTTAAGGTAACAGTAGAAGAGATGGATAAAGACATCATATGAATCATCAAATGAGCTCTAAAGGAATGCTCAGTATATTTATTAATCTGATTGACTGACTGAAGAAGTAATATTAAGGAACACACCAAGGGTCATTAGAAAAAAAAACAAAACAGCAACTACTGCTTTTACTGCGATTACTACAACTACTGTGATTAATAATACTTTTAATGAAATACTCATTGGTGATAATATATTCCAAAGAGTTCAAATACAGGAAATTTTGAAGTTTTTGTAATTTAAAAAAACCCCACAACCCTAACAGAACATGATTCACTGCTTTAAGAATAAAGTTGCACTAATGGCAGGTAGCTTTCATTACCAGGGGGAAGGGTATTATAGTTGAGACTAGAGAGCAATTTCATTTCAGGTATTACTGTGAAATAGATGTAGCTTTCAAAACAAAAACTATCTGCTAGATTACCTCTTAGGAAGGTCAATGCAACAATTTTTTTTCAGAAGCTCAGTCTTCAGTCATTTTGCAGATGATAAAATTATTTTTTCAAGTTCACTTTCATGCTCTCTGTGGCTAAGTTTCTCCTGATCGGTTTCAGGTCTCTGCATCTCCCCATATTTCTATGGGTACTGGCCATCTCTGATGGAAACTATTAAAACCTGAGAAGTATCATTCCCTTTGGCATGGCATTTTAAATAACAGAACTAAGTGGACCTTAAAAATGCCTATAGAACCTAAAATAAGCTTGGCTATCAGTCCTAATTCTCAAAAGAGGTAACTAATCAGAACCTAATAATAAAAATAAGAAGGAAACAGAGGAGTCATTTGAGTTTTTCAGAAAGGAGAGTAAGTTGACAGTGTAAGTATATTCTAGACTAAATATTTTACCAGCCACAAAAACAGCACCATGAGCACACTCAATTTCAAGAACAGTGCATACAGCCTTTGGTGAGTTTGGAGGACAAGGAAACTGCCTGCAAAACAAAATAAATTTTACAGCTACTATTTTCCAGACATGATATCGAACCACATAACTAGGATGAATCAGCATTGTCTGAGACACACAGAGCCCGAGTCTCATGGACTAAGCCACTCCCTAACTTTAAGTTTCGGAATCATAAGGGTCTTTTAGGCCTCAAGTACATTTTAATACACAAGAGTGGCACTAAGTAAATCAGGGCTCTGCTACTACCTTTCACTTAGGAGGCCTCAGGTTCACAGATGATAATTTCTAACAGCCTTGAGATTTGAGAGAAAAACCGTATTTATGAAGTGGAAGCCTCTCCAGGTTCTTTAGCCATTTTGCTATCCATAAACACTTGGTGCCAGCTTACAAAACCCTTAATCATTTGGGTAAAGTTCGTGTGCAGTGACAGACTAGTCACAGGAATAAGTCCCACCTGTGGGGAGAGTCTCTGCCATTTTTCTCCCTTTCTCATTCCAACTATGACCTCAGGGCCAGAAAAAGTGGAATGTGGCAGACTCTGCCCTTTTAGCTAAGAAACTTCAATCTAACTGAAGACAGACAGGAAAGAGCAATATATGGCTCTATTTTCTGTCTACCATCTGGGAACTTCCAAAGCCATGGACTGGAGTCTACCTGTAAATGACTAGATATGGACTTACTCCAAATGCTTGGCTTGAAAATGCCACAGTTTCCCAAGATGTCTTAACAAAAAAATTACTTAGAAACTCAAGAACTATTGCTTGTAGAGAGTAGCTAATTTTACTTTCTAAAATTCAATAGAAATATTTCCATTTTCTGAGGCTTGCTTTTAGTCAGTAAAATAAATAAAACCTTCTTCACAGCTTCATTGTTTGAAATTTATTCAAGGATATTCTGGAAGGATAACTATGATAATATTTTATTAAATAAAATGAACACAATGAGAATTAAAAGCTTTATTGTATTGCAGCATATTTTAACAAGTAAAGAACTCATGAGCCTTTTTCTCCCTCTTCTGGAGATGGATAATACTCGAAATGCAGAATGAGGGATGTAATGGGACCAGCTTTGGGCTGGAGAGTCAGGAACCCTGGCTCTAAGTCCACTCTATTACCCAGTTGAAATCTTAGGCAAGTCAACTCCCTCAATATGCTCTTCTAAAGATAAAGAAGTTGGATTTGATTCATAAATTCAAATATCAGTTTGACAAACATTTATTGAACGCTACTACACGCCAGGTACTATGCCGGGGAGTGGGGATATAACAATGACTAAGACACAATCGTCATCCCTGAAATACATCCAGTTTTGTTTTAGAGATAATCCAGATTATCTCTAACATTCCTTTTATTTGAAAATTCCATGATGCTTCCATGTTTCTATACTTCTACTTACTTGCGGAAATCCTCTTCTTTTATCTTATTCAACGCTTTCATAACTGCCATTCTAGTGAACACTGACTATATAAGGTAAAAATGAAAAGAAAAGACGTTTTATCACCCAGGCAAGAAAACGAGAAAACATCGGAGGTGAAACACAGAACATGGTTGGAGAAATGACATCATTTTAAACCATACTTACAGGACAGAAATACTTAAAAGCTTAAGAAAATAAAACATAAGCATTCATACTGTCAGTTCTCCCTGCAACCCTCCTTTTCAATTCAGTCTATGTCCACAATAACAGGTAGATCTAGCAGAACAATTTAGCAGCAAGTTGCCAGGCTAAGAGGTAAATAGAGCCAACCAGCCTGACCTGGCATCTAGCAACTCAACATCACTAATCAGCCACAGATAAATTAAACAAATTCACCATGCTGAAGAGAAGGGCATCTACAACAAATGTCCCACACTGGGTTTTTTTTAAGACAAGAAAAGCCAAACCACATTGTAGATATACTAGAACAAATGAGTGCATATAAAATGGCTTATTATGATAAATCATAATTGTGTCTTCTGTTTGGAGAAATTACGCTTGACTCTAAAGAGGCACAATGTAGGCATCTCAACGGTTTATCATCAAATCAATAGTTTTCTAAACCATATTTTGGAGAACCCCTAGGTATAGGGTTAAAACTGAAAAATAAGTGCCTAATTGATAAGATCTGAAATCTTAAGCCTGAAAGAACCTCAAAAAGTCATGTAATTTGCTCCCAGCAAAAAGGCAGGAAAGTTACATACACCTATACTACTGGCCAAATGATGTGGTATCAATGATGCTTTGACAAAAATGTCCTTGTTCCATTATTTGGTGCTGGTACTTGTATATTTCCTCAAAGATAACAAAAACTGAAACAAGATCTTCAATATAAATACGGCTACAGGTTATTTGGACAGAGCTTTCCAACTGGTATGGCAAAGCAATAAGCTATAATTGTACCTAAGATGTTGAGCCCTCTAAGTCACAAGGGCAGAGGGGCAGGACCTGGACAGAGAGAACTCCCCAGCCCATTGCCTCCAACTTAGAGCAAATTCATTTGTTAACCTCAGGGTGTTGAACACATAGGTAATGTTCTAGGTGTACCATGATGTGAGAAAGGTGGGAAGCAGTGCTTTAGGCTTTGCCGGCATTTGTAAATTATTTCTGTACAGGGCATTCGACAAATGTTACAAACTCTCCCTGCACACCCACCCTGCACCCAGTTCCAAAAGGCTCGGCAATTAATCAAAGACAAGAATAAAGACCAATAGATGTATCTTTGGTAATATGCTTATATTCTTCTTAACAACCATAACAGCAAAATAGATGTAGTAAAACTAAGAATGCCTGAGTCTCTGCATAAAACCAGCTAGGTATCTGTGGCATGAAATCTTGCCAATATCATTACCTTGCCATTCCCTTCTGGCATAGTAGAAACTAAAAATATATGCTAACTAATTTGCTCATTAATATGAAGACCAGCTCACATCAAATAAAGGGAAGTTTGAATAAAATGTCCTTTTGCAAATGTAGCCTGAAACAGGCCATATTAATTCAGATTGTCCTAAGTAAAATAATTTATTTTGGATTATATTTCTTAAATACTAATTCCTAGAAAATGGGTATTAGACAAAAGTTTGGAATGCTAATAATTAACATGGATTTTCCTCAATGAGGTAATTTGGGGATTAAAACCTAAAAGCTGAATTTCCCCCAAATGGGTAACAGTAACATCACTGAAACACTGGTTCTAAATTTAACAACACCAGGGAAACAACCCAGACAGTGACACAAATATGAGAATGTTTGTGTTATGACTTCCTAGCTAGAGGCAAAGGCATTCAGAGTAGAAAAAAATAAAAATAAATGTAGCAAATGGAAATATTGAAAGAATGATTCTTAGTATAATACACTGCCAGTATTTCTAACGCATATCATTTTGCTGTTAATCAGAATATTCAGCTCAGACAAAACTCAATAAAGAATAAAAAGGAGGAATCCTTACCTGTTTGTTTTTGGCTGGCTTGAAGCAATCTGGGCAAATTGTACGTCTAAGTAAAATTTAAGTTAATAAAAAAAGTTAATGAGTTTATTTTGGGGTGAATATAATTCAAATATATTTTATATATTTTAATATATATGGCTGCTAAACTCAAGATATCAAGAGCAGACAAAATGAATCCCTATACCAGCTGTACTGGTATGCCTACACCCTTATATTAGATAGCACATTTTAAACCTACTAACAGACATGACAAGTTCTGATATGCTCATTACAAAGAGGGGGAACACTGTTTCATGAAAACCAAAAAAGCATTAACAATGTTACACAACTGACATTGTTGTTTGTGTAGCAACTTACAGGAAGTGGCAATCCTCAACTGTTTCTGGGTGAGCAAACACCACACTCACTTCAAACAAGCTCTAAAAATTATAAAGACAGTTTAAAAATGAGCAAAAGGAAACCAACATCTAACCACTTATGAATGGAAATAGAAATTAATTCTCAAAGATTGGCTCACAAACAGTGACAAGGAAAACTGGAAATACTACTGTTCTCAAATCAGCTTGTGCACGGGGCAGCTGGAAAGGAAATAGTTTTGTTTTTTGTTTTATTTCTAAAGCTCATTCACTAGTTATTCTACCAAAAAAATTTTTTAAACAAATTTTAAAATAAATTTGTATGATTTTTGTTCATGTATATAAATTCGATGTGAAGATGAAAGAGAATTCAGGGAATTGGAAAGAGAGAACTGTTCCTATGATTACAATTATTAGCAAGGCAAAAGCATTTTATTCACATGCTTAAAATCTCTGTGGGAGCCTTTATTTTTTATTATTTATTTTGTGGCACTTTAAGTACTCAAACTTCTTAGCGGATTTGAGTTTTAAAAGAGAAATCTTAATTTTTATTATAAAAATGATACATATAAATTATAAAATAATCAAACACAGAATGGATTTTTAATCCCACACCACGGAGGTAGAACATAGTAATAGGTGTGTTTCCTTCTAGCCATTTTTATGAATATAAACATAAATGTATATACTTCTTAGGATATTAAACATACTTTTGGAAAATTGCTTTATTTAATTAATATTATGTTGTGGACAACTTTTCATCTCTTCAACTCCAGGGACTGTTGGATGTTTAAGTTGTAAACTTTTCCATTATTAAAAAATGCTACAATGAACATCCTTGTATACAAAAAAAGCACAATTTCATACTCTATGTACATTAATCTTCACAGAGAACAAAATTCCACATTGAGAAAAATGATAAATGCCATACCATATAACAATTTTATCTTTTTTATTGAGTATTTCTGTATTTACTGATTGCATTGGATTGTCAACAAGCATATTAGCTTCTCTAGAATCACAACTCTGAATAGCTAAATTTTTTTTGCTCTCTAATTTACACAGTAAAATTAAAATTACAAGACATTGCTTTTACTCAAGAAAACTTCACTCATTCTGAATCTATTAGAACATTGTTGCATCTTTTGTTTTCTATTTTCTGTTCTCACTAATTCAACATGTAAAATTACTTATGCTTCAAAACTGAAGTTTGAGGTAAAAATATTTTGCATCAATGACTTCTCTAATTTCCAAAGTACTTTCATTACCTCATTTCCCCTCCGTATATGTGTGAAGTGGTTTTATTCTCTATTCTGTCAGTATTCAGTTTAAAGGAGAGAGTTTATTCTTACTAACAGAAGGAAACAGAGCTATATAATTCTAAATGGTAAAAAATTTTCTTAACTAATTAGCTTTGAAAGATGGTTTTGTGATTTTACTTGAATAGGGGTGTGTCTGATATTCAGGGAATTTCCTTCAAGCAAAATCATGAAGCAATGAAGTCATACTATAAAAATCTAATTTAAGATGAGCTGGGAATATATCTTGTTGAGCTCTTTCCTAAAATTCAGTCCATTCTGGAGACTGAGGCAAGGTCCATTATGGAACAGGGGAGATGGCTTAAGTGTCCTGGTTTCAAAGGCAGTCTTCACCTAAAATTAGAGGGACTTGAGATACAACAAGGTAGGATAGGCTGAACCCATGCTCACTATAGTTGATTGATTGTATTTGAAAACAAGATTAACCACAGATAACTGAATTTAAATAGTCTGGAGTTGGCTCTACACTTATTCACAGTTACTTCTGTATTGCTTTATCAGTACATGTGTCTCTCCAATTAAACTATAGACATATTAAAGGCTTAGATTCATTTCTAATCTTTTAAAGTCAATTAGGGTATACTACATTTGTTACATTCATAAATGTCTTAGATCACAAAGAAGTCTTAAAAAATAAAATCTTTCTCAATTTAAGAGTTAGAAATTAATATTTTAAAAGCTTAAAAATTCTCCATTGGGTTAAAGAGAAGATTATTTTGGCTAATCAAAACTCTGCCACATAATGAAGTAAAACTGGTAAAACCAGAGAATGAAATTAACAATGCTGATGATGACCCAATACCTTTCCATCAATGGGAACACCCAGTTCCTCTGAAAACAGGGGGTGAGTTATCCATTTGTAGGCTTCTTTTAGTTGAACTATATCATTTCTTCCCAGCGACAGACTCTGTTTTCTGAATAACATAAAAATTAATTCACTGAAATGGAAAACTTTACTTTTTCTGCTAAAGGAAATAATTTATGCAATTATTTAAAAATATTTATTGAGTGCCTACTATGTCCCAGGCACTTTTTACACATTGGATAGTAAGCAGACAAAAATTCCTCAGCTCATGGACCTTGTAGTCTAGTAGAATCGAAAAACAGGTTTTTAAAATGGTATATAAGACAGTTTTTAAGCTTCAAAGACAAAGGTATACTAATAAGTTTTTCTGAATTACCATTGCCAGATTCTAGGATTATATGTCAGAAGACAGAAAGATGGAATAGAAGGGATTGTTTATTGCTCAGGAACAATAAAACTGTGTATTACAATAATCTCATCCAGACTAAAAATTTTTACATCTACTCTCTTCCTGATAACGGGGCTTACTTTTAGGAAATCAACGTAAAAGCTATACTTCAGTGCTAAAGAAGAAACATTAAGTCCTAAAGTATCAATGTGCTGAAATGCTTGTCACTTTAATATCAAAAAAATGTCTGAATAAAAATCTGACATTCCCCCCAAATCTACTCATGAGCCAATAAATAGGTTTCGGGAAGTCCCAGTTATGATCTCTAGCTTTTAGTTTGTAACCTAAAATTGTCATAGAAAGGAACTGAAGGGGGTGCCTAGTTGGCTCAGTTGGTAGAACATGCAACTCTTGATCTCAGGGTCATAGTTCAAGCCCCACGATGGGCATGGAGCCTATTAAGAAATTTTTAAAAAAGAAAGGAACAAGTAAAAAGAAAGAAAAACACATATGGTATGATATTATTAAAACTGCTTTGCTATGCTAAGAATACTATGATATCACTAAAGAATTAACAAGTCCACACTATTCAAATCAGTCTTATAAACTACAAATCAGTCTTATGGCTATATACAAGGCTGCTTTTAACAAGAGATGTTAGGACAAACTTGTGAATCATTTCTTCTATGTCCAATTTTCACTGATAGAAATTACTACTTATATCAAAAATTCATTGTAATTTAATTCTTAAAGACAAAAAGACACTACTAACTGCAGCTAGAAAATAAAAAATAATTTAGCTAATGGTGAAATTTAATTGATCTAAAAAACATATAGGGACGACTTTCCTCTAAGAATACAAATTAAGGAATGGTTGATGTACACATTCTATATCCAGCTGAGGTATAACTGGTTACACAGAATGCTTTCATATGCTTTGGGATTGTGGTTTAACAATGAAAAACTCAAATAAACCCTACATCTGACAAAGAATCAAATTACTCTCTACATTCAAGAACTTATTGAAACACTGTTTGAACTTCTTAAACTGTTCCTAATTCTCTGAATATCAGAAACATTTTAAGTATTTTAAAAGACTATCTTGATATTGTACCAACAGTTTAATGATATTTGCATAAAATAACATCACAGTTGAAAAGTAATTAATGTTTGAGAACTCAAAGGACAAAAAGTTGAAATGGAAAACACAAGAATAGAAAACTATTTAAACATTGTTTAGATTCTAGAGAGTACCAAGAGTTGCAGCAAAAAGCAATCCAAAATATGGGTTAAGACATTACTGGTATTTTAAAACCTTCATAGTCTTTGAAATAGATTTAGACATCTTAGTCCAATTAAAAAAAAAAACCTATAGGAATTTTTTCTTTCCAGATTAAAGAACAGTAGAAAGGGGTTAATAGACATCTTGGAAATCTTAACCTTCTATACAAGGCAAAAATTTATCACTTAAAATGCCAGATTTTTAATCCTGCAAATTCAATGTGCCTTAATAACTTTTCTAATATAATTTAGGGTAAATGTTTTCACAGAGGTTCTTAGCATATGCCTGATGGTCCTTTGGAGGCATTAGTTGTCATTGAGGTAAATTCAGTCCTAACTGAGTACTTAGTAACTGCATTTCCCTTTCTCCTGTGTCAGATAACTACTGATGAGGATGTCAACTGCAATCACTTTTGCTATAGATACAATATGACAACCATTCCAGAGGAAAGATGAGCCAAAATTAATTTTTGGCTCGATTAATTTTTCTAAATTCCTTGAATCAATTCTTTAATGATTCCTCCACAATATTTTGAATTTAGAATGAACTACGGACACTGACAGAAAAGATTAGTATTCTGTATTTCTTCTGTGCCAATATCTCTATATTGAACAGGATCTTTTGGAAGAGCTAAGCTTAGTTTAAAATTCTTCGATAGAGAATAACAACAGCAACTCACAACCAATGTGGATGGAAACTGGAAACATTTAGAAAATAGCATGCCTTGACTATGCTAAAAAATTTATCAAACATAGGATCAAATTTTATTATGTCAGAGTCACAAGCATTTGAGACTAATTTAACATAACCTAACTAAACCCTAAAACCTTTGCTAGATATACGGCTATTACCCTTTCAGAAAAGCAGATGTGAAAAAAAAAAGGCCAAATCAATTACTTTTTTTAATAAATCACTTAACCAAGTATAAGATTCTAATACAGAAATCTATACTTCTCTTTGTGCTTTTCTATCCAGAGTGCACAGGAAACTTAAGTAGTCATGTGGCCCTTTTTATATTGGTATAGAATTTTTAGTTTCAAAATCCAAAAAGGTCTGGAAAATTAAAGACTTTTTTTTTTCTTAAACCAGTTGGCAAACAAACACTGACTTGAATATGTGAGGCTGTTTAGAGACTTTGTGTATCAAACTTAATGTGAATATTTATGTTTCACTGCAGAAACATTAATGTGTTTGATTATAGAGTACCACCTCAGACCATGGAGGGGAGGGGTATGTTATATATGGTATTTATCACCATATTACATTTCTAAAATCTAAAAAAATTCTAAATTCCAAAACACCATTTGGTCCCCAAGGGTTTCAGATAAAGGACCGTGGACCTATGTTTTACATGTTTTACCTATGTATAAACTCACTGTTGTTCTGCTTTTAATAGGATTTTACTTTGTATCTTTTATAGTATAGTTTATAATTTAGTTTCTAAGACTAGTATAAAATTTATTCTTTTATAATAGCTTGCCAAGCTACATTATATGAGTGCCTAATGTAAAAATATAAAATACATATTTACATTCAGTGTTAAATTTACAAAAAAATGAATCCACTTTAATAGACTACTAATAATGTGCCATGCAAATAAACTAATTTAACAAGGTTGACACCTAAATTCATATAATAAAATTTTTTTCTTTCTTTCAATTTCTCTAGGAGCTAGTGAACTCACTCTAAAAAAAGAGAGAGTAGTAGTAAAAGTACTTTAAGAATCAGGTAGCTTATATTTAAATGGTAGAAAAAATTCCCTACCTAAATTACTTACCCCATTTCCTGTTTTACCAGCAACCATGCAGCATGCTGTAGGCAATTTAGTCACACCCAGAAGAAGAGAAAAGGGGAAAAATGTTCATTGAAATGAAGTTACAATATCATTACTAAAGTGCTTAACTAATTTGCTAATCAAACTCTCCTTTTTAGGGGAGGAGTTAGTGTTCAGAAATGTGGCAATGACTTCATTCTCATTTAAAATCAGAAATGAGGAAAGATGCCACTTTGCAGTGCTGGGTTGCTTGTGGCCTAGGAACAGGTTTCTATCTCATTAATGAGGTATAAGTGTTTAACATGAGTAGCTCACTTTTTTTCTTAAAGTATCTTAGTATTTCACAGAGGAAGGCCAAAAGTGAACGAGGACCTACTATGTCCCCCAAACAGAACTGAAGGCCTCAGTTTTTTTGTTTTCATTTTTTTAATAGGGCTACCACATTTTTAACTCTATCTAATTAATGATGTCCACATGTAAGTGTTTAGAAGTAAAAGGTACCAACATCCGTAACTCACTTTGGAATACAACAAAAACTAAGATGAGTGGATGGATAAACTGATGACAAAATATATAACAAAGGAAATACAGAAAAATAGTAACAATTATAGAATCTAGGTGGGTATATGGGTGTTCATTGTACAATTCTCATAATAAAATGTTAGAGAAAATGTTCTGGGAAGAATTAATAAAAAACTTTAAAAAGTTGCTAAAATGGAGATAACATTCACAATTATGGTTGTTATAAGGATTAAATTAAATTCATATAAAATGCTTTACATAGTAAGTGTGATACTAAGATTTCTCAGTTTGCCAGTAGGCTCCCAAAGCTGTCACTTTACAGAAAGCTAATGACATGACCTATCTCATTATATAGCATTTTGTGAACATGACAGAAGCATACATGTGTAAGTCGATAAAATAACATATGTAGTCTCTGCATCCACCTGCCACAAAAGTAGCCATTCATTATCGCTCACTTCTACCTCAAGACCTGCCCCCCCACACACACACACACGTTACGGTTCATATGTAGAGTCCTGTCCTTTTAAACTTCCAATGACCAGTAAGGCACTAAATACCTTTAAAGACTTATTTGGAAATCTTAGGTGTATTACATTGTTCAGACATGAGTCAAGCAGAATAAATTAATTACTGGCCAAGTAAGAACTAGAATTGTTCCCAATGCCTAAACATCTCATCAGTACCTTCTGATTCAGTAGTTTGTCTACTTTGCTAGTTCAACCTAATGCCATTGATAGTATGACAAGACCCCATCCTTCTTTCCTCCCATTTACTCAAGCCCTCTTTGAAAAGTACAGGGGCATGGTAAAATACACAAATTACTAGGAGTCAGGAGACCCAGTAAATTTCTAAATTTCTGGCACTCAGTTTCCTAATGGGTAAAATGAAAGCGTTAGACTAAGATGAATGTAACTTAAACTATTCTGGGTGGCTGAAGGTTATCATTAATGGGCATTAGTATACTATTTTGGAATAGAGGCTATTAAGACTTGTAGGACTGGGCGCCTGGGTGGCTCAGTCGGTTAAGTGACTGCCTTCGGCTCAGGTCATGATGCTGGAGTCCCGGGATCGAGTCCTGCATCGGGGTCCCTGCTCCGCGGGGCGTCTGCCCCTCCCTCTGCCCCTCCCCCTTCTCATGTGCTCTCTCTCTCTCTCTCATTCTCTCCCAAATAAATAAAATCTTTAAAAAAATAAATAAATAAAAAGATTTGTAGGACTTTAAGATCATAGAAAAAAGTGAAAAATGTTCTCCCAAAGCTGAAACCTTATAGTCCATATTGCCCTACCTTCCTCCAGCCTCCATACTTTAAGAGATCAATAAATACTTGTTTTCTCATCCAAAAAGGGATATTAATACTCCCCTTGAAGGGAGACTGTGAGGATTCAATGAAGTTGTATATGTAAAGAACCAAGTAAGATTCCTGGCATGTACTTAACAAATATTAACTACTATTGTCATTTTTTAATTAAAACCTTAACTGCAATTCACAAATGATAAAATTATTATCCCTTTTTTTTCCTTAAAGATTATTTATTTCTTTGAGAGAGAGCAAAGCGAGCAAGAGAGAACATGAGTTGAGGGGGCAGGGGCAGAGGGAGAGAGAGAAGCCTCCTTGCTGAGCAGGGAGCCCAATGTGGGGCTCAATCCCAGGACCCTGGGATCATGACCTGAGCTGAATGCAGACGCTTAACTGACTGAGCCACCCAAGCGCCCCAAATTATTATCCCTTAAAAGATTTACAGGACTTGATTCCCTTCCCTCACTTCCCAAACTGCTCTCCTATAGATAGTCCTGAACTTTTCTCATCAGTGAAATCCTCATGGGTATCTAAGCTATAGAGAATTATCTGTCCTTTCTTTAAGGGGACTCAGGTTCTTCTGTTCTTTTTTAGTGACCTTTTTCTCTCCTCTTTTGAAGCAGATTCTGTTTTCTATAGTCACTTTCAGGTGATGCCATCAAATCTGCAATGTCCTGCCATCCTCTGATTATAAAGTAGGGCAGAACTGGAGGTTGCCAAGGGAGATCAGATTACCATGTGTAACATATAAAATTAAATCAAATGTCTTCAGTACCTGAGATTAGCTAAAGGGTTTTTCCTTCCTAATCCTCTGCAGGCTTCCTGCTCAAGCATGCCAGCAGGTTGGACAGAACTAATCACACAGCAGGGGCTGGAAGGCTGAATCCCAAAGAAGTCAGTGTTGCTCAATTATTCAATTTTTACTACGTGCTAATAATGTCCTGGACCTGCTTCTGCTGAGGAAGAAAAGTACATTTCTCTCTTTCAGGTCACCAAGATAATTTTAATAAATGTTCTACTCCTCAGTGGGAAAAAAAATCATTCTCTAGAGTAAGCAATTTAATTCTTCCTCCCCAACAGAACCAAGTGGCATTAAAGTTATCAAGTTTAATCAAATTTGGCACCAAAGGCAATATGTCATCTCCTGAAAATTCAGGAATCACACAACTTAATCCTGGACTCTGCTTTAACTTTACTGGAGAATTCTAGGCAAGTGCTAAATAGAGCAGTTGAATAACCTGCTTGCTAAAGTGCTTGTGTACTCTGCTAACACACACACAGACACACACCATGGAAAATCTATGCCTGGGAATGGCTTTAGAGTTTAGAGTTCTGAGATGGGGGTTCATCTAGCACCAAACAATGAGTGTGTGTAACAGTAGGGCCAGAAAATGAGGCTGACTTAAGCAGAGGTGGCAGGAAGGAAGGATGAGAACAAGAGCCATTAAAAATGGCATGATGGGGGGGGGGGGCGCCTGGGTGGCTCAGTCGTTAAGCGTCTGCCTTCCGCTCAGGTCATGATCCCAGGGTCCTGGGATCGAGTCCCACATCAGGATCCCTGCTCGGCAGGAAGCCTGCTTCTCCCTCTCCCCCTGCTGTGTTCCCTCTCTCGCTGTGTCTCTCTCTGTCAAATAAATAAATAAAATCTTTTTTAAAAAATGGCATGTTGGGGAGCTACAATTTAGTAAAGCTGGTGCTTAGGGTATATATAATGTGTGCATAAATGTGAGTAGGGGTTCAACAACTAGAGATGAAACTGGAAAGGTCAGCAGGTTTTAAGTGCCAAGCTATGGCATGACTCCAAAGAATGAAACTATAACAGAACAAGTGCCACATTTATGTACATGCAAAGTCCCATGGCAGCACAAAGAATGGACACCATTTGATTTTTTGACATTTGATTTTCTATAATTCATCAAGTCACAATATAACCATCATCTGCACACTATTTTTCTTACATGGTAGCTTAAGAAGAAAATAAAATAGTTCTTATACCAAGTTACTTCATTATCATACATGGGAAAATAGTGTGGGGATGGAGAGGAGTACAGAGCTTTAAGAGATAACAGAGACAGACCACCAGGACTTGGTAACCAGCAGTGATACTATGGTTTCTAAATTACCACTAATGCCCCTTTTTTTTTTTAAGTTTTTATTTATTTATTTGACAGAGAGAGCACAAGCAGAGGGAGCGGCAGGCAGGGGGAGAAGCAGGCCCCCTGCTGAGCAAGGACCCAGGACTCTGGGATCATGACTTGAGCTGAAGGCAGATGCCTAACCAACTGAGCCACCCAGGCATCCCACCACTAATGCCCTTTTTAAAACTCTAAAATCTTTTTAATCCTACACATCTCCTGTACTCATTTATAATAACAAAGATAATACAAATACAGACTTGTACCAACAGGAAAATGACAACATTTGTGTGGGCAGCTAGAGGTACTACCCCTCGCTCTCTCTTCTCCTAACACACACACACACACACACACAAACACACACACACACACACACACATTTATGTCTTCTACTTGCACACAAATAGGCAGCTGAGAAGTAGGCTCAACAATGAGGTAACAACAGTCACTCTTCTTTCCTCTTCCCACCCAGCATGCCAGCCCAACCTTTCCTTCTCCCCCTCCCCAGCCCCCAGCCTGCTACAACCATGAGTCTCTGCCTCACCAGGGCCCGCGCCTCACTTTGTATCAGGTTTGGTGTCAGGCGCGGTGGAAGAGAGAGGGAGGTAGGAGAGGCGGGAGGAGAATGCATGCCTATAACCACTGCTGGACTCCACCACGTAGCTGAGGTAAGGGCTCCTCACCCACATCTCCTCAGCTCCACCACCTCCCTGCCTCAATCTCACTCTTCTTTTCCCAAGTCTCTAGTGTCACACCCATGATGTAATGACTAACAGACGGAGTCTGGGTATTTCTCTCTCTTTTTTTAAAGATTTTATTTATTTATTCATGAGAGACAGAGAGAGAGAAGCAGAGGGAGAAGCAGGCTCCTCGCTGAGCAGGGAGCCTGACGCGGGACTCGATCCCAAGACCCTGGGATCATGACCTGAGCCAAAGGCAGACGCTTAACCATCTGAGCCACCCAGGCGCCCTGGGTATCTCTTTTGATGAATAAAACATCAGCTATGTTTGAAAACCCACCCATATCCTCTACATTATCTTTCCCTACAGGGTTGAGGGGGACATAAACCCTTCTCACTC